CCCCATCTTGTGCATGGAGAACTGAGGCACAAAGCACATTGAAAGATTCACCTTCAGAAGATGTCTGTGTCAGGACATGGGCTAGATCCTGTTCCTGAGTTGGGACCAGGTTTTTGCTTCCCAATAAGTCCTTCTGTCTTGGGCAGATGGTTTTGATCCTGCAATTCCTTTACTTGTGGTATGTCACCACTCATGGTCTCATCTGGATGTGGTTATGTTCTCAAGTTCACTGACAGACACCAGACATGTCACTTTATAAGGTCTGCCCACAGTTATATGACAATTACTATGAGAATAAAGAGATCAGGTGTAGGATGAAGATAGACGTAGTAAAATTTAGGTTTCATGGGACATAGACAAAAGCATAAGGACCTGATTCCCTCTGAGCCCATTTAACTCACTAATGCAGAACAAAACTATCCTGGGAGTACAGCAAGGGGGTAGAGTGGAGAATCAGGAGATGCAAAGGAGGAGGCAGGGAGAGTGACTTTTTCCTTTGGGAAGTAACAAACTGGTAGATCAGATCAGCCGCCCATGAAACTACAGCCTTGGTTTACAAGAATTTACTAAGTCAAAAGAAAATGGAAGTGATTCCACACCAATGATACGTGCAGAGGAACAATCCAGAGCGAGAGGAGAAATGAGCCCTGCAGGGAGGTGTAACATTTGTGCAGGCTCTCAGATTGTGCAGAGAGTGCATTAGAAAACAACATGGCTGTGAACAGCTGAACTGCTCCCTCAGTCACTGTATCTCAATACAATCTGTTACTGACACAAAACAAACAACCCCTCAAAAAAAACCACCCCACCCCATCATGCTTTGAGAAATAAAGAAATTTCTCAAATTATTTCCAGTCACACAGTACATGGATCAGAAATTAAGTCCACAAAAAGGGGCATTGCATTTTCACATGATGTCTGGATCCCTACAGGAAAGTGAGTATGATAATATCAGGACTCCCTCTCTTTCCTCTCAAAATTTTCCCAATACAGATGCTTCAGTTTCTGAGCCTCACAATTTTTCCTTCCAATTGTGGTCTCTGCCAGCTTGAACTCGACAGTTGAGATGGGTAACTGAAGGTTCATATTTTTAACATGATCTGTTGAATTTCTGCTTTCCCAACGTGTGTGTTTGCTCTCAAGTATGATTTTCCGTACATCCACATCCACATTTTATTTCTAAGAAGCCTGTGTTAGCAGAGCTTTTAGATTTTTTTTCTGGCCTTTTTTGCAGAACTGCAGAGATGAACTCAGCCTCCCTAACATGCTTTAATATTGCACAGGCTTGCACTAGACAGAGGTGAAAGCAGTTCAGGACCAGATAGTGCCTCCTCTTGGGATCGAACTGAACTACAGAACTGAATCGCCTCCTCAAGCCCCTAGGAAGAGCCCAGCTCACCCCACAGCCTCTGGAAGGAGTGGTCCCCGTAGCTCGTTATCCGGCCAACCGGGATGCACCCGGGGAAGGGAATTACAGCCTGAACCCAAGACCCAGACGCGGCTCTTCCCAGGTCCATCATGGACACATCAGCAAGCCGGCCGGGCGCAAGCCCAGGTTCCAGCACACAATCGCCTCTCTGGTACGCTGCCAGCACGGCGCGCGGCGTGAGCTCGGCCGGGCCAGCCGGCGCTCCCCCGAGCCACGGCTGGGCACAGGGCGAGGGGTGGCAGAGGCCAGCGATCGCTCCGAATTGGCGGGCGGGCAGCTGGACACTCCCCAGAGCCTGCCCGGTGGCGAGGGGGCTGAAGAACAGTCCCTGCCCTTTACTGGGCGGCGATTTATCTGTGCAGACGTAGCCACTGAGCCTGAAATATAAATAGTTGTATCTAGCAATGGGGAATGGAAACTTTCCCGGTCATTGGTTTTGATGTATTTTTGGCTGCTTTTAACGTAAATCTAAGTTTTCAGTGCTAACGGTCCAAGCTTGCAGAGGATTTTCTCCTTCCGCCACCATATTTTTGGCAAAAGTCAGAAACAAATACATCTGCATCTCCTACCTCTTTGCCTCCAGTATCCTAAAGGTGTGAGAAGGATCTGGAATTGCACGGAAAGCTGTGGCACTCGCTCTTCACACTTCAGATTGCAGTTGTAGCTGTGCGCATCTGAGCAGCCATCCAGATGCTAATGGAGCTGCTCCTGTGTTAGTAAAATCAGAGAAAGGCCTCCACTGCTTAGTTTTTGGATATTTATTGGCTATAAATCAAAGGGCCAGCACATATTGAGGTATCAGGGAAAATGTCTTTTTTTTTGCCTGTGTTAACTGCAATGTTCTAAGATAAAGCTGTTATTTTAAAACATGACCTATTTTCACTTTGCACTAGTCTTCTTAACTGTCCTGAAAAGAAGGATGTTTATACAATTTTGCAAAGAAACATGTCTAATCCATTTACATTTCTTTGTTCCAAAATGTATTCCTCTTGTTGAGATTCCAGCAGACAAGGAAAGCAGACACAGCGGTTACTTTCCAACGTGAAACTTAAAACCACAATCTCCCGCTCAGAAAACACAGAATGAGTCACAGGAAGGGGCCACTTGCTTGCAAAAGTCATTAAAAGCAAGGCAAGGCAAAATGGATTTCCTGTATCAATAAATAGATTGCTGGCAGCAGGCAGAACACCTGACAGTGCTGGAGGCTAAAAACTGGTCTGAGGGTGACCATTAGAAAAGCCAGATCAATTCTTCAGCTCAGAAACTTATCTCCCCAGCACACAGTTTTCTTGGCAGTCGTTGGCTTAATCCAGCAAAGTGCTTAAGAATATGCATAAATTTCAGTCCAGGGAGGGGTGACTTAAGCAGGTTGATAAATTAGGTCTGTATTTATTTTCTGAAGCAAGCCTTATTAAAAAGGATGCACACATGGTACCACAGAGGTGTATATACCGCAGGCGAAAGTTTTGTTTCCCAAGTTCATGAAAAAATAAAGAACCCCTAGTCCTTACCTAAGCTCAAAATTTAGCTGTAATCGCTACTTTGCTTTGCTGTTAGCAGGACCCCTTGGACACTTGGGCTTAGATTTCCCTTTGGTCAATGTTATTCTCTCCTGTTTGGAAAATGAAGCCAAAATGGCCTTCCCACCTCTTCTGTGCAATGCAGACATGTGGGATTTCAGGCAAGACCGCTTAAGAGGCAAAAGGCAGAGCTCCACACCTGACCTGGTATCACCTAGGTTCAGCATGGGGGTGGAAACAAGAAGCTGCTTTTTGGACCCTCTGTTTTTGTTCCCTTTCTCTAGGTTCCTCATAAAAGAAATCTCATTTCTCATTTTACCTTTATTTTTCTCCCTCACATCCCAATGGCTGGAAAGGTCTTGGTGAGGATTCTCTTCCCCAAAGCATCCAGCAGCTGCAATTCCTCTGTACCACTGCTGGGTTTTCCATAGAGCCAGTCTTTCATCTCTCACAACTAGCCTTTTCCTTGCGCACCTCCAATATGCTACAAAATAAAATGAGGGGTTGGATTTTAGTGCAAGCAAAAGAGCTAGGATTAGCTGAGGTTGTGACACTGAGTACTTCCTTTACCACCGTACTTTGCTGGACTTTTATGAAAACAAAAAAGAAAACAAAAAAACCAAAAAAAAACAACAACAAAAAAAAAAAACCACAAAGAAAACAAACAAACAAAACAAAACACAAATACACACACCAAGAACAACCTCCAGGTTTCACCCTTTTATGCATTCACAAGAGTTATGTTAGTTACATTTTTAAGCACTAGCTCTTAGCATCAATGGCTTTCTGTCTCTTGCAATGAACTATCCCGAGCTACTTAATTCAATATGCATTGCAGTTGACATCAAGACTATTTATTTATAATGAAAAAAATTAATGTCTTATTCTGGAGATATTCCTCACCTTCCCTATGGCATCAAAAAACCCCCAACAACTTTATTGTCTTCACTCCACGGGAGGCTTGCTCCATCAGATTTTTCTATCTCTAGTGATAATGAGATACTCCAGGAGCAATGAATATGTCCTTATAAAGTTTGGTTTGCTGATGCAAAAGCACCATTTCTCTGACTTTTAATTAAAAAGGCACCTTCATTTCAAAGCCTGTCTCCCGAGCTCCAGTGTAAATGTTTATACAAGCCAGAGACATACAGAAAATAGAGAAGATTGGGCAGCCTGCAGTCACTGATTCTTCAAATACGGCTGCTCTTGTATTTTTAACACAGAATTTGAGCTGCCGCAGAGCCTTATCAACCCCAAACATCTTTGTTTTCATACCAGCTAACACAAACCTGGCAGTATCACTATGCTGCAGTTAGTTTGCTCAGCAAACCCGGCAGAGGGAGCAAAAGGCAGCACTGTGTTCGCACAGGCAGCAGGAAAGGGTGTTTTCTTCTCACCAGCAGAATGGCCAAAGTGAAAGAAGAAAAAAAAAACAAAACAAAAAAAAAAAAACACTATCTTGTCTCATTGCCATGAATGACAACATTCCTATTCACAACAGATAGTTTTTCCTTAGGTCACACTAGGAATTAGTCAAAAGGAAGATTCAAAAAAATTTGGGGTGGGGTAGGATTCCTGACTGGTCCGTGTTGCTCCAGTCCCCATCTGGTTGCTCTTGGCTTTGAGGTGCTGTTCCCACACCCCAAAACAGACAGAGCCCAGATCCTGGCCTCATCTCCTTCAATAAACTCTTCTGATTTGAAAAGGCTCTGGATCAAACACTGTAGCTGAAGAGCAAAAGTGCTGCACCAGATAGCCCCGGTAAGAGACTGGCAGATCAGACTGAAGCTACAAAAGCCACACTTTACAGAGTTTCAGTAGTTGTGCAAAAGAACTCTGCTGTTATCAAAGCATACAGAAAAATAGAAAAGTCAGAAAAAAAATTGTATTTGCCTTTATTACAATATATATTTCTACCCTTGTTGAATTCAGCGGATCAAAATGTGTTAAATGATTTTTATCATTGCAGTAGCACATACATATACAGAGTAAATACTGTATATAAATAGGCTTTGAAATAATAAACCATATCTCCAAATAAAAAATACCAATACACTGTTTCTTCTCCCTCCCCAAATTAGAACAGTAACATTTTATCTTCAACATAACTAATGCAACAAGTATGGTATTCTTTCCCTCACATGACACAGCTGGAACGGTAAGGTCATCGGCTTCAAGAAAATAAACATTAGTCACTCCTCACTGCTGCATATTCTAGTTTATGTGTATTGTATAAATAGAATATACTGTGATTTAATATGTCTGCATATTTATGTTAGCCAAATATTCTTTCTGTAACAGAAACCAGGATTACACTGCAAGCAAGGCTGAATTTTTTTTTCTTTCACAGAAAGAGTAGGAATTTGTTAAACCATCCCTTTTTCTTCTACATGAATTAACAAAGCAGTTTAAATATTATGCATAAAATTGCTCGGCTACCAAATCAGTATGTCTTACACTGAAAAAGTATGGTGATGTTTCTAACAGGTCTAAACTTTGATTTTCACAAGCATCTTTTCTGTGAGCAAATCTGATAAACATAGTTATAGAAACACACATTCGTTCCACTGTTCAGCTATATTTCAACTTTCAGATACAAAGGGGTACACAGTATGTCAGAAGTAAGGCATTTAGCTTCACAGAATCACAGAAATGTTGGTGAGAAGGGACCCCTGGAGGTCATGCAGTCCAACTTCAAGCTTGAAGCAGAGGATTGCCAACACTAGATCATCAGCCATAGCTCTGTTTAACCAAGACTTGAAAAACGCCAGGATGGAAATTCTGCAGTGTCTCAGGGTTACCAGTGCCACCCTACAACTACAAATCTGATGGAATTAAAATGACCACTCACTCAAACTAACATTTTCATATCAAGTACTAATGGAAACAAACCACCCCGGATTAGCTATTTATTAAGTTATAAATAAACACATCACAGGCTTTAATTGTGGAGAACTTTTAGGGACCATCTTTTCTGCTAGAAGCTACTGTGTGGGGTACCCTAGTAAAACAAATTCTAACTATTGTTAACCCACAAAACTGACAGCCTCTTATTGCAGAGAAGCGTTGGTTTGGGTTTATTTTGCATAATAAATGGATTGAAATAGGCTTCTACCAAAACTAAATTAAAATAGGATGCAGTTAGTATATTCACCCATTTATTCAATCATTAATGACAAATATTAATAGATACTTAAAGGAAAGTGCGGCTATATTTAGAGATGCAACCATCTCAGATTGGCAACCTGCAATCTCTACTGATTGTCTTTCAGAAAATACATACCACGTTTCTTCCACCTTTAAGTAAAAAACTTTCAAGAGAGCTTTCAATCTTTCAATCACTCTGGGTTGATAAACATATATTTCTTCCTCTTTGTCTAATCCTGCCACCTCCAAAATGGGCATACACCTTGCCTGAAGCAGCAATGTTCATGCGATAAGAAAGACCTAGAGAGGGCTCACCCCTGCAAATTTCAGCCATATAAAAGGATTGCACTTATATTCATTACTATTGAAGGCACAGAGAAATCATAAATTGGCCCCCTGATATCCCAGATAAAGTCTGCAGCACTAACAGTTAGAAAACCCTTACTACAGAATTACCACCCTACCTACATTGCTATCATTCCTGACATGCAAACCCAGAATTTGTTGAAACGGAACAAATATGACACAGAGCAGCTGTTCCCAATCTTTTGGGTGCTAACTGACCACAACCACATCTTAAAATTTCTCCTGGACCACTCTGCCTCCCTATTATTATTAAACTCTTAACTGAAAATACGTACCACAGCATCACAGGTCACAAGCTGGCAGAGACCACAACTTGTGAACCACTGTTTTAGCCATATTGAAATACAATATACATGGAATCCCATTATGCCATTTTCAGTGTTTCAGAGAACAATTAGACTTTTAAGGTATTTTAAAAGGGAAAAAAAATAAAGAAAATAGTTATTTCCTAGCTACACGCACATTTGAGAATCATTTGGTATACGGTCACTTGATGTCTACATCAAGTATCGCATTGTGTAAAGGCAGACCATTTGGAAAACATTATCAACTGATCTGCAGTATTGCTTTTAGCACACACAGTTGAGTCTTAAGGCTGTCAAAAGCAGGCAGCAAAAACAGTATCTACAGATTGTGTCTGGACACATAAGAAAAAAAAAAAAGATGAAAGAGGAGATTTAATTAATCTCGGAGGACAGTAAATTGCACTAAAAGTATCCATTCTTTATGATACAAAACCAAAGAAAAAAATCCATACAGTAAAAACCTGAGATGCATCATTCACCAACATCAAAGTTCACATTTTAGACAAAATAATGTTTCAAATAGAAATACTCCATTTTGACAAAGTCCTCAGTGTTCCTGGCTCAGTATCAATCTTGAAACTCTGCACATTCTGTGGGCAAGATGTGTTTATTGAAAAATCACTGACTTCAGTGAGATGGGCACTATGTACAGTAGGCTGTATCTTCCACTTGCACACTTACCTTAATTCAAATAGCTACTCTTGAAGCATGGCATGTCTCAAATTGAGAAAGACTGCCAGAATCTGGACGTCTTATTTCATTTGCTTTCTATTTAGATTACATATCATTTATTTCCTCAGAAAAGTGTTACCATGTCAAACCACTAGGCTGGAATAAATCAACACAGCGCAACTGTCTTTGATAGCTACACTGATTTACAACAGCTGAGGATCTAGACCAGTAATTAACTCTTAAACAAACAGTAGTTGATCAAATAACAGGAAAGAGGAAGAATCATTTGCTCCTTCAGAGAAAGGAATTTTGACATATGGATTGCAATCCCTGTCCATGTCACCAGACAGTATCAGGAATGGTGAGCACCTTCGGCTCCCTTACTAGCAGGGTGTTCTGATGAGACGAAAGACGACTTCAGTGATACAGAAAAGATACAGAGCCACTTTACAACCTTATGGCATATTTAACTGCAACTCCAACATCACTTCACTTTTATTTCACCTTAAGTAATGAAACTGTATGGCACAATTTGAGGAGCTGGGTGAAGAGCTAGAAACCTAACTCCTATTCCTATTAAGACTCCTTCTTGACATCTGGAAACGTGACTAAGTATGAAAAAGCATTTCTAAATGTGCTTACAGCAAAGAATACAATGCTCACAACATCACAGATTCCAGTTGAAATGTCAACAGCAAAAGTCAATAGATGTCCTTTCAATATAAGCTAACTCATTCTTCAAGCTGAGGCCAACAGTTTGGAGATGAAGTTAAGATGAGGCTGGATGTACATCCTGAGTTTCAAAAGGCTGTAGAGGTTCTCTCCAATAGGTGAACTGACTGTAGGTATCAGAACAAGGGAAATCTGACGAATGGCTTCTTTTCAGCAAAGGGAAAATGTGATCTACCACTTCACATAGTCTGACATAGCTGGAAAATAAACAAATAAAAAGAATGCTGAGCCATTTCAGATCTTACTTTGAATTTTTCTAAGTCCCCAACCACTAAGGCATGGCTACTCTTACCATGGACAAGCCACCCTCCTCAAGTGAGTAAAACTAAACAATTTTGGTATCTATTTTCCAGAGAGGATTCACAGTTCAGATAAGAAATCCATTTATTCTGAACAACGATACTTACCTAGGAAGAAACAGATGCCATTTTCTGCCCAGATCACCTGCTAAAATATTCAAGTCCCATATTTTGCTTCTCCTTTTCTGTCAAGCTTGGCTCAAGCAGCTCCCTGCTCAATTATTTGTATTTTATACACATATAGCTCCCTTTCAATTAAGGACACTCTGAACATTACTAAAGGCCATTTCCATTCAGTGTTAAGTGCTACAGTGCCTAAGCATCTTGCTGGAATCCCTGATACCTATTTTCAGATTTTGTTTTCTGGCTCTTCTAGATATGAGCTCCAGGAAAAGGAAATTTTTGAAAAGGCCATGAAAAGGCAGATGGTTTCAGGAAACTAGCTAGCCACATTTTTACACAGACTAAATTGTACACTGATAATTCCTTTACATGATTAAAGAAGATGGAATTTATTAAACTAAATACTAAACAATTTCTTTCTGTCAGTTTTTTTTTGTTAGTTTAGCTGAAGGCAAATGGAAAGTATATTTTACTCTGAATTTTTTGTTTTCTTTGAAATATTCTAAGGAACCTTTCATTAGTAAAATCAAATGCATCTTTGGGCAACTTGAGTCATACATTAGAACAGGAAACTAATTTAGTCTGTAACATACTTGGGATAAGAGATTACTTACGATGAGATGTTTGTCTTTGCATGCTCTTGTATAAGTTCTCCTTTAGGGTTAACTGTAAATATCCTGTTTAAAGAAACCCCGACCTGTTTGTATGAATAAACATCCTAAACAGAAGAGGGGGATTAAAAAAAAAAAAAAAAATCATGATTCTGCCTTTGCACAATAATGTTGATTCTTGCTGGAATATACTACACAGAACACCACAATTGCACAGTAATGGTACTAAATTTACCTAGTTATTGTGCATCTTAAATTCTCCATTATGTTACAAACTAGGTCAGTCTAAAAAAAACACTCATGAAACAGACAACTTGCAGCTAGTTAAGGAGTTGCTGCTTCAGTTTAAACTATTGATCAAAATCAAGTTCATTTTTTCAATAACTTCCCTTGACAGAAAAATAACATTAAAAAAAAAAATCTAATTAAATTTGGTGTAAAAGCACTTGCACTTTCATTTTTCTTTCAGAGAATATTTCATTTCCTGAGTGCTTTCTACCAAGTATCTCGCAACAGTGTACAGAGGTCAAAACATAACTGACATGTAAAACAGTGATTAGTTTGTAAGGACAAGGTCACAAAGGAAGTCGTAACAACCATGTCTACATGGAAACATCTCTTAGCTCCTGAGTTCGGATTTGTGCCATATCCATACATTGATGTTATATCAGAGCAAGGGAGAAAGAAGGGAAGAGCAAGGAACATATGCATACATTTTACAATGTAAACAAGCTTACATTTTACTAATATAAATCATTGGATATGGCTTTAAAAGCTGAGGTGGTGAAGGCTTGCATGTTAATGAAGATATAAAGGTTATTTTTATTTCTAATATTGTAAAGACTGTCCCCCCAAAAATTAAGTAATTTAACAAAAGTGAACAGCAGTCACTTCAAGAATTTAGTATCCTGGCAGTCCATGCACTATCTACACCTGAGACATGCACGAGTACAGAAATTTCACCGAGTTTGTTATCAAACAACAAAACAATAAAACACAAGCAGTACATAAAATTGAGAACATGATGATCTTGATATTCACAAAGTCAATGGCACATGTCACACCTGAAGACTGCACTCCAACAGTAATGAGAGGAGTGAGTTACCAGTAATTCCTTTAGAAACATTATGTTACTGATTCACTTGAAATTTTATTGACGTACGCATGAAAATAATGATTTTATTTCCCTGAGATTCAAAAAAAAATGGAAGTAGAAGTAGACATCATCCATAACACAGAATCACAAAAGCGTTTAAAAAGTTATTTCAGAATCATATGTGTAAAGGTACCTTGATAATACAAATTAAGCTGTGTATTATTACATAACAAGTTAATATAGCAATTGAACAGTGAGGAACTCCTGTCCTCTCTGACGTAATGCTTTTAATGTAATTTGCTAAAAGACTAAGCTGAAAAAGTTGCAATTATAAATGTCAGCAACCCTAACAAAAATATGACAACTGTAGAAACTCTCTCTCTGTCAAACAACACATCGCCTTACATGCAAAGTAGAACCTTTTGATTTCAGTGGGACATCCAAGTTCTTCTGAGTGTACTTAGAGTTTGAAGTCTACATCCCACTACTATACATCTATAAGATTTTCTGTCTGTCCAGAGGTATCTCACTGACAATGTATCAGGGTGGAGTAAAAGGAGATCAGTGTTTTCACACAAGCTTAGGGATTCTTTTACGTAGTTAGGATTTCAACCAGTATTTACTGTTATGCTCATTTAGGCAAATATAATGTAGTTATTTTGCTGCTCTTCCATCTCTCTTTATATCCTACATTGTGAGGTCTTTGAGGAAGAACCTTTATATTTTCCTTTGTACAGGGGCTAATAAAATATTTTTAACTCCCATTTAAAGCTTCTAGGTTCCGACGAAACAGAAGTATGAAACAACAGTAAGCTTTCTGTTCTTTGCAACAGAAATAAATACAGCTGTTACTTACAGCAGGTCTGTTTCCAAAAGCAGCATAAAAAGGTTCTGTGTTAGGATAAAACAAATTTTTTATGTCTGTCAAACACTGAACTTTAAATTTTTCTGGCTTCTTTTCTATCACCTCCCTGAAATGATAAAAAAAGGGAGGCTGAATAAGTACACATGATATACAGCAAAAGCCATTTAATTTTCTTTATTCAACACCTGCTAGATGATCTTACAGAGCCCCCACCCACCTCCAATAAATCTTCATTTGGAAATCACAGTGCCCATGAAGACAAAATAGCATTCCCAAGCTTACATAATGGGCACAGTAAATAAATCCTCTGAAATAAGAGAACTTCCATTGAAACTTATGTTGTAAAGATGGCTACTGAGCAAGGATGGTTGATTACAGGGAATGGCTCCTAAATAAAGACTTATGAAACATAAATTGTCATCAAGTAAACTGCTTCCTGAGAACTGCAGAATGATTCACAGATTATACTACCCTTCACTGCGTATAGCTGCCCCCCCCCCCTTTTTTTTTTTTTAAGGACTGCAATTACCATATGTGCTAGAAGCACCTCAGCCTGTTAAAATACTTCTACAGTCAGGGTTCTTCATCACTGCTAATTAGCAGAAGTTAAGGAATAAAGGAATCTTCTATTTCTCTTCAGTTGCTCTTACAGAACACAGAATTCATTAATGAACAGAGGAGTTCTCATCTCTGGGCAAAAGCCCTTTCACAACAGCTTCTCTTGGCAAGGAGACTGAACAGGTGGCAGAGTCTGGAGTTCCCGTAACATAGGAAGATGCCAGCTTGACACAAAAGCCCTTAAGAAGCTCAGAATCCCACATCCTAGCACCAACACATATGTCAAGGAAGATGTGAATAGTACAGAAGCTCTATAGGAGTAATACAGCCCTTTAGTACAGCAGCTCCATGTATAAACCAAAGTTTGAGAATGTGCAAAAGAGGAATAAAACCATCTTTCCTCAGTCTTGCATATATCTGATCTAGGAGCCCTCAAAACCGCAGTAATTACATCTATGGATAAAAATTAAGTCATTCATTGCCCACACATCACAGCAGTTACAATAATGTACACTGAAAGATGGGCATTCTTTAGTCTAAAAAAGATACTAAAACAAATATCACTTTAAATATATTTCTAGATACGAGGAGCATAAGATAACAGTAACCACCCTTTCATTGCATTTATTATTTAATCAGCTTAAGAAGTGCACTGTAATACCTCCACAGTCTCTTATATTTAGAACATGACTGGTAAGACAGCCTGTAGCACGTCACTCAATCAGGAGAATATCTGAACAACTTTCCATTAAAAATTCTAATGAAATATATCCTGTCACAGCAGCTTTTAACAGCTTAAAATATTTTCAGTAATCACTTGACATGCTTCACTGAATTAGGGAAGAGGTACAATATTCAAAATCTGTGGTACTGTTATTCATCTATTACAGTTCAACACCTAGAAAGAAAAATATTGTCCACATAGAATACCACACTGCAGTCAGGTGTATAAAAAGTTAATGTAAAGTTAAGTACTTTCTTCAAAACCCACCAAGTAATATTCTTCCACAAAAAAATATTTATGCCAGTTGGAACACCTTACAAATCAAGACAAGAGTGATTGTTATTAGCATGTAAATGTTTTTCCCATAGCTAAATATTAACACCCCATGTTAAATGCATGAAGCCAACAGACAATAGCTACTGGTAAACAGTGAACACAGATGTATAGAGGCATGTCTAAGATAAATTAAGCAACATGACCATCTAGTGAATTTTGGTCTTCCTCTGACAAAATTTTTCTTAGTTAATTTTGCACTGGTATGCAAGACAAAAAAGCATTATGAATGATTCCAAGCCCTCCCATAAAAAAAGCTGAAAATTCAGCCTCTACCAACCTGTGAGTTACTTTCTGCTTAAAAGTGAAATTGCATTACCTGTGAAAAGCTGAGAATAAGCTGCTTGGACTCAGCAACACTGGCCCTTGAGGCAGCACAGTTCCTCGTTCATTGACCCAGTGCAAGTATCCTCTGGTCATGTCTGCCATTCCAATAGCACGTGCTGAGCAATACAAAAATTTATATCCATTTCTGTGAACAGAAATAAAAGAATAAATTACTGTAAAAATAAAGCAGGTATTTTGACATTAATAATTTTGTGGATTTATTTTTACATGAATCAAATTATGACTGTTAAACAGACTTCTGTTTAACTTAGACTTATTTAAAAGGAATAAAAACATTTGTGCCAGAAACTTGGATAATTAAAATCTACCTAGTTCCACTGCAGTTAGTGATTTACACCTAAAGAGGGTTCATTTATCTGTGGTTTTCTCAGGATTTACGATTTCTTATGGTTTTTCTACCCACTCCTGCATAGTAGAACCATACTCCTTCAAATTAACTGCAACGGTATCGCACTTGGCATAAAGCAGGCAGTGGTATATTAGCCTTTGCTGTACTAACAGTGTTATACATCTGCCTCTTGGGCTTCTGAAAAAAAAGACTAGTCTATGTACAACAGTAACATATTCCTTCAAGTCAGAGCAAATTTGAACTTCAAAACACAGTATGAGAATTAATTTTTGACTTGACACTGAAATAAAGTTTCAGCAAAACTCACAGGTCACATTTGGTTCTGTTCACGATAGAACAGAGTCCAGTGATGGTAGTTCAACTTAATAGCAATTTACTCTGCAAGTCCTATAAAGAAATTATTGTTCATAAAATAAAGAAATACTGTATTCAGTGCACGCATGGTCATTAAATCTAACTATTGAACATTGATATGGTGTTCAGCTGTAATATGTAGCCACTACATAATTAACTTGGTAATTTGAAAACCAACATGACTCAAATCCATTTTTTTCCCCTATGATTATGATCACTAAAGCTCTAACAATTGACAGAGCTGGCAGGCATAGAAACAACAACTGCAATTAAAAAAATTAACTAACATTTTCACCACATGTAATGCAGAGGTTATACACAGAACTAAATACTGATCAGTATGTGAATTCCCAGGATGTCCTATCTTTCCTGTGACCACATACGTCTATGCAGAATAAAAGCACAGACAAGTGTCTCTGGCATAATTTAGATTCTATCATCCATAATTTATAATTCATCACCTACGTAAAACTAGAAGTAATAAACAAACCTTAGCATAACTCTAGTACACAAAACAAATCATATTGACTAAGAGGGCAGCTGTGATGTGTACCAAAGGCTCTTCAAATATTTATGGTAATTTGAATATACAAGAACAGCTGAATTTAATATAATAAAGGAAAACCAATTTTATTTTCTGTGTAAAGCATAAATATCAACCTGAACAGACAGCAATCAGTAATCCTCCTTCCAAAAGTTAAGATCAGATACCTTATCTGATCCCATTCAGACATTAATTCATCTCCTCATTTCCTTTTTTCTCTCAATTGCTAATCACAAAATTCACCATACTCTGTCTTTGAGACTCCAGTGTACACAGTGGCATGACTACATTGCAAAATGTATCCAGGGAACCAACATTACACCTGTACTCTTGCACTAGCCTTGCTCACCTAGAAGCACTCCCACACATCACTGCATGTGAGTTGCTACAGTCTGATTGTTTTTCCTGTTCATATTTGGACAAAATATTGCCAGTTTTTTGGAATATATTGTTCTAGGTCATACCACGATACTCTCCCTGCTAGTGACATTAACTGACCTAAATCACAGCTGATCTATTCTTGCCCAATATTTCTTCAATAGCTAGTGGAAAAAAATAGCATTTTCAAAATGTCATTAGATCTCAGGTATATTGAGCTATTTTTTGAAGATGCCTGTCCTTCTCCATGGATTACACACAGTATACAATCCACAAGAAAACATGATGAATCCAGGTCCTTCCACCAACACTGGCACAGAAGGTATTTATTGTGAATGTGAATCAACAGGCAACAGTACAAGTCAACTACTGAGTTATACTATAATAGCTCACACTGGCGTTGCCAAGTAAAAGCCTGTTCTTCATGCTCTTCACATGTCTTACTTTCAGTGCCTTTAAATTGCACTATAAGCAATGTTTACTTATCACCTACTCTAAAAATTAACCAATGACACAAAAATATTAAGACTGATCCTTCCTAACTTTGTAATTTAACAATGGAATAACAATAAATATTTTTATACAGAAATAACAAAATAAATTGTATAACCATCAGTAGTAACGATCATTATCAGTATCTCTGAACTTCATCGTTATTTATACAACAAACAAAACAACAAGAATATTAGCAGTGAGTATTCAAAATGGTTCCATTTCTACTCAAGCTAAGACGTTGTTCTGTGCTTTAAGGGTGAGATTTATCTTGCTTGGCTAGAAGCCTAAGGTTTAAACAGATCAAGTCTAAGCTATTTCACTAAACTCCCCTTCTACTCACTGGAAAGAGAGGAACTCCCCCAGATTCATCCCATTTGTTTTAGATTCCATCCCTACATGACTCCAAGAGTCAAGTTTGGCAAGCACAACTCAACCTACAGCGACCACTGTAAGCTAAGCAGTCATTATGTGTTTCGCAATCTCCTCAATGAGAAGAGAAGGTGTTAGTACCTTATGAATGAATGCTGCTGCAACTACCAGTCTGCAAAAAAGTTCCACTTGCTGCAACTGCACAACTCATTCAAATTACTACAGTTTTTGGAACTAACTGGAGCTATCTGTTTGGGACAGTTGGAAAAGCAAATCAATAATCATTGATAAGGGGCTTTTGCTTTTGATACCATAAAGCAGATTTTGCTCTGGATACCATAGAGCAGATGTTTACACTGTGTAAGCATCACTGAAGTGACAAGATTTTGGTGAAATTGTCACCCTTATAGGTCAAGAGAAGTCTAGAGAAATTTTAATTTTTATGTGCAAATGAATAAAGACAAACAAGCTACAGATGCATGAACAGATTTACTGCATACTCACTGGCTCACTTTGTGGTACAACTTTGCGATCCCTTGGTGTGTCCAGTCTTTGCCAAGAGTTGGTAAAATATGACCTAAGGTATCTGACCTGAAGAAAGTAAAAACAATATAACTGAACTGAAAAAAAACCCAGTACTTATAATAACAGTTGAGGCTAATACAAACCCCACTAACTTATTTGGCCAGCAGCAAAGTAAGGTTTTCTGTAGGGTAGTGATTGCAATCAGGAGAGGATGATTTTATTCCCCTTTCTTTTGAAATAGACTGACATGCCCATCCTTGGCCATGTTGTTCTAATTACTCTTATGCCCCAGGAGTTATCTTCATGGATAAGGTTGTGATCCATAAGGTAACATGGAAGTTACAGCTTATAGGCTATCAATCAGATCTGTATAGTAGACCATCCAGTATTAAGCATACTTTTGAGGTTTACATTAAATGTTTTCTAAATAAACCAAATCTACCCATAACAGAAATTTATGGGAAATTGCAAACATGAGATAAGTCACATTCTAGCTTACTTCAAACTAACTTCTCCACATAAAGCCAGAAGCTGGTCAAGTACAAATTATTATGAAACAGTTATACTGGTTTCAATTTATTTCCTGATTTATACAAGAGAAAATTATTTACACTATAATAACATCTAGCAATTCAAACAAATGAGCACCTCACTTCAGAGAGGAAAACATCACGCAGTGGCTTAGGATGGATTTGAAACGGTATTGTAAGGTGAAGTGATTCAGTAACTCTTTGGGCAACAAAACAGGAGAGAGAAGAATGGATCCCATTCACTTCATTGAAGCTTAAGAAAACAAAGGATGGGGGGCAGAGGGAGGTATTAATTTATGTTGGCATCAAAAAGAGTTTGCCCTACAATGGATAAATCACAATGAAGAAAACCGTTTCAGTTTCAATCAAGGATTTTAATTCACCTCAGACTGCTCTTGGAAATAATTTTTCCTTGTTCTTTTTTCTAGTAAGATATAGCGAAGTTTGATTTGGAAAAAAAAAAAAATATTTTTAAACAAAACTAAGCATTTAATTTTAAAAGGTCAAAAGACAATGCTTATATTTTTATTAAGGATTTCCCTGTTTCACTCACAATTGTTTCCCCCAGTGTTAAATAAATAAATAAATAAAAATCAGCAAGTGAATGAATCATTTTGGTCACTCCAAAATTGTGGCATTTACCCAAAATACTAATCTGAAACTTTCCAGTAAATTCTAATTCTGACATTGATTTTGGAGTCTTGTCTTCTAAAGACTAATGCCTCTCACTGAAATGCCCCAGTAATGCCTTTTAAAACCAAATTCACATGTTTCTGCTTTTTAATGTAGCCAGTATACTTCATAAATGTGATGCAGTTAAAAGGTTATGATTTTGCAGAAGGTCCTCCAATACTACTGTAAATACTAGCATGACACACCAATAGGTGACAAATAATGGGCACATATGGCATGTGTCTTTATTAAATTAAGAATTCAGCTAATGATTCTTGCACTGTTTGAAAGCCAAATAAATAAAAAAAAACAACACCCTCAAACACTAGAATACGATGATCCTGTGACTCGAAATTCCCTAATACTTTTTCCTTTAGTCCAAAGGACAACTTGTCCTTGCAGACAAAGCCTCTGCCTGTGCATGAACTCACCGTGTGATTGTTCCATCAATGTCAGAAATAATAACTTTATCATCCCAATTCCACAGGTAAATGGTACCTTCACAGCGGCAAGTGCCTTGATACTGTGTTGTAACACTAAAGGTCACATCATTGGGGCCATTCTTGAGCTTTAAGCTTTTCTGCAAGACATTATCAGCAAGATAATAGGCAAACTGAGCATGTAAAACTGACACAGTGCAAACACAAAGCCACATATGATCATTGCCTTGGTCACCCTGAATCTTATTGCTTTCAGCAGAGCTACTGTCTAAATAACAATAGCAGAGGTTTGCCTTGTGTGATAGACATCAGGCATTGATTTATAGGGCAGAAAAAAACAACAACAAATTTTTCTTCACAGTCAGGGATATTAATTAAAAAAAAAAAAAAAAAAGTAAGAAAAGAATCCCAAAAAGTTCACATAAACTAACGAATTATGGAATAGGGACTATCTGTGGGGGTTTTCCATTCTGAAATACAGATACATATGCAGAAAGAAATGTGGGAAACAAGTAGTTTCATGAACTCTAACAGCATTCACATGGGGATCTGTGTTCTATGGTATTACATCTCTTTCCTATAATAACCCACCTCTCATACCATATGATCTGTTACCTTTCAGTCTCCATCAAATTTCCTTAATTCTCCCACTTCTCTGTCCTTCCCTCACAGTCTCCTGTGTCACTTAGCAACACATTGGGCACACTACTGATTTGATTCTATTTGTGGATTCAACTAAAACCTGCAGGAGTTTAATACTTTAAGTGTCTCTCTTTCTTTGTTATATTTCACTGCAATTGTTCAGTGAGTTAAGGAGTAAAAAGGAGGTGAGCATGAAGAACCACTAATGTGTAACTGATGAGTCTCACCCATTCACAGTTTCATCAAGAACCCATCTAAAAGTAGTTTTTGCTTCAGCTCATTTCTGCAAGGCTTCTGAAGCTGAGAAGTATCAATATATTTCTGTAACCCTTGCTCTGTTTGCTATAGAAGGTACCAACACATCCCATCTGTCTCTTGGGAAAAAAAATCCACATTTCCTACAAACTATTCAGGCAGTAAGTGATGGGCTGTTTAATGCTGTATGCCTTGTTTCCTTCAGAAAATTAATTGGCTGTAGATAAGACGACAAAAAGTATTTCCCTAAAGTAGCCCATTTTTCCAGATCAAATTGGAAGATACAGTACACAAAACTAACAGTTTTGTCACCATTAGTCAAAACACCTCTGTCACAGAGGAAGAGAATTGGCTCCAAAGAAATTAATAGCCTGGCCTCACAGTAAATTCACAAGCAGCTCTTTCAGAAGCTACTAACAGTATTTATGTAAAATGTGACTCTCTGCCCATGAATGAGGGGAAAGGAGATGAGGAAAAAAGAAAAAAAAAAAAAAGAGCAGAGAGGCCTGTAGGTTAACATATACACATTCTACATAATACAAAAAAGGACATGGTTCTAGTACACTTATTCCGGTGACAAATACATACTTCGGAATTTAATTTTGTTATTTTTCTAAATGGGATCCCACGTCTCCCAATATCTGAACCCCAGCACTTCCTGCAAGGTACAACATTCATGCTTAATACTGAAAAGAGAAGGAAAAATATTTTTTAAAAAAAACATGACGAGAGAGAATGAAATGCAAGCTGTAAGAGCCAATTTAGCTTTGCAAGCCTGAGTAACAGTATTGTTCATGTTGTATTAGAAATTACATTTCAGGTCAAGGATGTAAAATTAACTCACGAGCTGGTCAGAAGTGAGTCGAAGTGTTTTTTTGTAACTGATTCCAGACAATAACGAGAGATGACTTGAGTTGGTTTGTAATGACCCGAGGTTTTGTTTGGCAGCTCTAGGGTCTTCATCACTTGAAGAAGATTCATCTCTTATTCTGAAACATTGCACACACAGAAAATTATGTTATCATGTCAGTAAAAGCATCTCAGTATCCATTAAAAATGCATTAACAGTGAGTCACCAAATAAGTCATTGATTCTCTGCTTCTAAGTACTGCCTCACAGGAGGTTATTCACATTATGGCTTTAAATATATCAATGAAGTGCCAAATTTTCATTCACACATGCTGCCTATTACTCATACTTAGATTGTTCTAGTCATTCACTTGTCTATAAACTAGTTTTCATTTCTTAAATTTAACAGATGTAAATTAATGTGCTGTATTGACTCAAAAATCACATACTGGTAAAAAAAAAATACCCATTAGATAACATAACTACAAAAGTTCCTCAGTTCTCAGAAGAAAGAGGTGTTTGTTATGCTGGTTTCTCCTCCCCACCTTCTCTCCTCCTCCACAGGATTTAGCAATTAATTAAAAAAAAAAAACAACAACATGTGATGGAAATTTTATTATATAAAGTAACTCCTCCTCTTCCAATGAATGACTTCAGATCACTGGATTAGTCTTCTCCAGGATTTGCAGGATTACCCCATTCAGGATATGATGATGAAAAGTCTTAAAACCTGAGCTCATTTACAAAATCATGTTTAAATACACATCAGTATAATCTTTTTTTTCTGCTATAACTATTTTTTTTTTTTTTTTTTTTCAGAAATTTGTTAAGGATATTTCTCTTCAGAGATAAAGTTTTCCTGCAGTAAACACATCCATCACCTTCAGTGGAAAGTAAAACAACCTTTCAGATCCTACAAGTCTCATCTTTAAAACAATCAGTGTTTGGCTTCTTATGTCAATTACACCTGAATGTCGTTTAATGTTAGGAAGTCTTGACCCAATAATCAAGGTACTGTATATCATGACTAGCAACATTTAAAAGCCTATCTTATCCTTAGTAACATTAGATATCAAAAGCTTTACACAACATCCCACTTGTCATATTTTGCTTGCAAGCAAAAAAAAAAAAAAAAAAAAATCTTAATGACAGATTTCTAAGGTCAGTTAAAATTTAAACAAAGAATGCCAATTACAGAATCTAGTCTGCTTGAAGTCTTAATCCCATTTTAAAGCTTAACTTTAAACAACCATGTAAGAAACAGACCTATAACGTCGCTTATCCCTAAACTGAACATCAGCCTTTCCAATCTATTCTGTGGCTCTTACAAACTCAGAGAGGCAACTGAGAGAACAGCTAGTCTCCTACAGAATGAGGAATCCTCCTTTGAGCACATTTGCCTGGACTGCAACTGCTGACCTCTAGAAAGAATGACAGTTAGTGCTTTGTTTCATAAAGGTGATCCTTGAACCTAACTTAATGAACATAAAGCATATTTGAATCTGGCTCTTTCAGCTCTAAGTACAGACAACACACAGATAGGCTGTCTTTACAGTAGAGATCAGTATGTACAGAAAAGGGGAGAGAGGAGAGCTGTCCCTGGCTAACTCATCCTCTCCAAAACAAGTTAAAGCTCATGTTATGGAACCCTCCTTGAAGGAGAGATTCTGCCCGTATAGTCTGGAACACGAAAAAGAGACTTCTGCAATCCTTGAAAGAAGTAACAGAAAACCATGATTATTGCCTGTGGAAAAAAACCCCGGAAAGTCTTAGGCCCCTGAACTTTCAAAAATATGCAGCAACAAATTAAGTTGTCAGGCCATAAGTAAAGCAGAAATTTTAGCAGCTGCGATCCGACAACAGCACGGAGTCATCTATAATGTTCCCTTGAAAACTCTGGAGAGACACATATAGCTTCAGAAAACTGGTCCAATTACTGTTTGTTTTCAAGGGGCTGGAATGTGTGTCACAGAGCTGCCAGCCAAACCACACAAACGCCAGAGCACACTCACAAGGTCTTGCCATGGGTAGGGCCTTCTTATCTGCACTTATTTGGTGCAATGAATATCAAATCAAACGTATTTCACTTGCAGTACCTCTTTGTTCAAATATAGGAGGTAGCTTGCTTTTATTTTTAAACAGTAACTTCTGGTCATTTCAGGTACAGATAATTTTGGGGTACCTGTTTGACATGCTCATCTGTGAAGAGTCTTCTCTTGTAAGTCCACTCCCACTCATACCTTGCTCTGGCTTTGTTTCCTGCAAAAATACAAGCATGAGAAGCTGTGCATCTCCTGTTGGACAGAGAGCAAATGTTTTTAGAAAAATATTTGAAAACCAAATTCTCTCTCATACAGACTTGTTAAAAATCTGTAGCATGCTTGTAGGCAAAGGAAAACTTCATGGTTTTCGTAGAGAATAAAGGCTGATAAAAAACTGAAAATTGCAAATATAACTCAAAAGAGAATTAATCTTAAGTTTTGCATAGAAGAAGTACAGAAATATCAGATTTCACATCTAGTACTGTTGAAGCTCTGGGATCAATCCTGTAACTAATCAGTTCATGCACCTCAAATAGCTAGATTTCACCTGAAAAAGCAAAGTATGACTCTGGAGAAGGAAAAAAAATAATACAATTATCTTTCATAGAATCATTAAAATCTTTAATCTAATAAAATTTTCTAAACTGCTTTTACCTTGCACAGATGCTAAGATTTATCAGTTTCATCTCACAAGATTTTTAAATAGTGAATGATTTTCAGACACACAAACAACAGCAACACCTCCCCTTTCTATTTATAGCTGCCACAGCTCAAGAGATAACCAAATACTTTCACTCAGAAATTCTAAAAACTTCAAACTGTAAAAACTAAAATCTCACACTCTGAAGCCCATACCCACAGATCAGTAGAATGGTTATTTCATGCAAGACCACAAAGTTTTAACTGAGGCACAACCATAAAAACGTAGAAGTAATTTTCTCCCCTCAAGTACTAATGCTTCAGTAGTATAAATTAATATGAAGAGGTTTTATTAGTCAACTTTAAAGATTAAGTATGTCTAGACAGGAGATCAATATTGCATATAAAGCTGTGCTTTTTTCAGTGTTCTTTTATGTTCATCCATGGCTTTAGTAGTGTTACCACAAACTTTTAATGCTCAGAAAAGAAATTCAAAAAGACTTTAAAACTAATATATAGTCAATTTTCCATCTTAGATTTTGTTGAATTTTACAGCTTACACTACTCATAAATATGTCTCTTCAACTATCAAAAGAAAGCTGTAGAAAGGTAGGTAATCTGCACAAAAACATTAAATTAGTGGCAGAGCTCTTCAGTTCTAGGTTCCCAAACACAGATTTAATCCATTAGATAATACTGCCTCAGGTTTGTGTAATGAAAACAAACGCAGAACCAAAATACTGCAGGCAAATGTTTCAGGTAGGGTCTGATCCAAAGCTTTATGAAGTCAACAGAAATCAGACTTTAGACCATTTAAACATTTTTTTAAAGTGTATATCCTCAGTCAAATTGAATATTGAGTTACTGTCAGAAGCAAAATTCTGAGGGATGAATATGGAGGTATCCCACCTTCCCACTGCAACCAGAAGTAAATGCTGCTTGCTTCTTAAACTTACCTCTTTAATAGTGCTGTTCCTCCCACGCCATGAAAACCACCACCTTCCACCTTTTTTAGGCATCTTGTCCCTCATTATAGATTCCACAGTGGCCTGTGATATATGGATGGTAACATAAAAAAAAAACCAAACCAAAGGACAACCTGATATACATAAATGAAATAAAGTGCCAAACACACAATTTTAACTGATAATAAATAGAATAAAAGTAAACATACTGTCTGTGGACCATAAATTCTACTAAAGCAAAATCTAATGGTATCCAGAGCTGCTCTGAAGTAACTTAAGCATGAATACTTATGTTTTTTTAAAACAGAAAATGGAAAGAAAAAAAAAAAAGAGATAAAAATCAAAGAAGAAAAAGAAAGCATAAATAGATATTAGTATAATGTCTAGAATGGAGAACCTACTGTTTGGAAGCTGGAGTTACTTAGTGCAAATTATATTAAAAAAAAAAAAGAAAAATATCACTTTATCAAGGAGCTCTCATGCAAAACAGTAACAAACCCACATGCAAGATTGTTATTCTCATTTGAAAATAACTACGAAGTTCATATTTAATCACTGGTTTGGAAAAAAGCAAAGATGTTACCAGCCTTTATGAGTTTAGTATGATGCTATGAATTTGACTGACAATGTTAGAACTGGTTTTTTTAAACCCTGGCTACTTTTCATTTGTTATATATACTAGACCTCAGTAGAGGAAAGTTTCTTTCAATACCTGTACTGACTGGAGCCTTATGCATCATAACAAGGATTGCTGAATTCTTTCACTCAGAGAGCAAGCAAAAGACAAAAGGGTAAAACATTACAGTAAAGGTCGTCACAGTGTTTAGTACGCCCTAGAGTATCTTAACCACTGGCTTTCTGAGATGATAGCTTCCACCATAAGCAAAGTCAACAAAATAAAACTGTGATGTTGACTAGTGATTTAAAAAACAAATAATATATTATTCCAAGAACTCTTAGCAGTTAAGAGAGATGGCTGAGTTCAGCTAACATATGGGAGAGTACATCCCTTCTCCGCTTTCCAGAGCTTCTCCTCACTATACTATCTAAAGTATATGAGAAAAGAAAGAAATGACAGAGGAATACAGTTGAGCAAATAAGCTGAGAACTTTAACAAAAATAAGGAAAACAAGGAGCAGATGGAGCTACCAAGAACAGAATGCCACTACTGAGAACAATGGCTACAATTTAAGGAGGTTCTCAAACATACGGACAAATTCAAGCAGATGTCCTACTGACTTTTAATGAGCTAATACACATATTTACAATTAGACATGCATTTAAATGTATTTTGCAGAACACAAATGGATTTTTTTTTCAAAACCTCCAGTTTTCAATCAATTCATAAAGCCTGTTTTGATAAAGTATCTTAGTATAAAGTATCAATTCCTTAGTTCCATTATTACAGCAAATCAAAACTCTAATTAACAAGTCATTAAGACAACCAGTAAGATGACTGGTAGCATAAATGAGTCATTTTAGTTTCAAAGGTACAGTTCAGCCAAGTAAATCTTCTCAATTACACCGACTGTTTCAGCTATATATAAACTGGCTTCTCCACTAAAATAAATTTGCACTGCCTAGAAAGTTATCTGATTTAGCCAATAAAAAAATATGAACACGCTGAATTTCACACTCATAGAAGACTTTTCTTAACTGATAACCTATATGAATAATGGCATAAGCATAATGCTGTTGAAAGAATTGCCATTTCTCTTAATGTCAAAAATACTCCATACCAATTCTTTCCATTTACCCATCCGAGGCAAAACTCAAAACATCTGGCTCAGGCATCAAAGTGTTTAATTAAAAATGCAGTTACCTTGCATTATCTTTACTGCCACTGAACACTCAATAGGCCCCTATAAAGGTCTGCATCGCTCTGTGGAATTGCCTGACAAATACTGCGTAGGATAACAACACACCTTTTGTAGGCATTTGAGTTCCATGGGATGAATCCCACCTTTGATGATTCCTAGAATATTTGCAGTAAAGCACAAAGCATCTGGCTCTGACATCCTTGGCATTCAAGCCAGGTTTACCAAATGTTTGGGACTTTTAGGATCAATTACTTTATATTGGGATGCTACAGTGCAGCTACCCATGACTGCATACATAGGTAATGTGGCACCAAGAAAGAAATCAATGGTGGAGAGTATTCTGGGCTCTGAAGAAATTTGTATTCCATGCTAATGGCAATAGAGATATCATTTGAATTCATATAGATTAAACCCAAAGACATGTAAAGTGCTGCATACAGCAGAAAGGAAGTTTAGGTTCTAAAATTTATTAAATCCATGGCTAACCAGGATATAAAATAGTGCTGTTGGTGATACTACTTCATTATATACATTTACAATAGTGTGTATTTCTGTCCTGAGCATCTATGTGGCACCAGGTCACATAGAATTGGACTAAACTCATCAATGCATTTAATATAAGCTGACATATACAGCTGTCACATAGTCATAGCTATCTGCCACTACCTACCTGGATTGGTTATGAACAGAAAACTAGTAAGCTACAGGCCTTCCTTACCTAGTAGTTAAAACTTACTCACTAAGGTTAAAATTCTTGGCTTCTGTTTTTATTTGATAATATATGCTGTACACAGATAAAATAGAAAGCAGTCACCAAGTATTAGTGATTAGCCTAGCAAATAAACGCTATTCACAGACCAAATTTAGTCCTGCTTGTTTAGCCCTTATCATAAACTAGGTGAATGGTTATGCGTGGATAAAAAAAAATACTGATGTGCAGATTCTCTTGTACAACAACTCTCTTCCCTGCCTTCATAAGTGGCAGAATGTCACAACTCCTCCTCTGACTAACCTTCATGTTCAATCTCACCTTTGGAAGAGGTTTCTGGAATGCCTGCATTGCCAGCAGAAGGGGACCAGCTGTTGTCCAGTTGTAGTACCTGGGCATGCAAGAGAGACAATTACTATATTTTGTAATCCCAAGATTCCAATTCACAATCTACCTATTATTTATCACCTAGCAGGTCAAAGCCATGAAGCCACAACAGGTCAAACTCTGGCCTGCACCAGTAATAGCAGACCCACCTTATTCCGCAGTATGTTCACAGGTATTTCCAACATATACTTTTCAATGTATGCAAGAGAAGCTAGGTTCTTAAGTAAAAATGGTATTTGTCATGCATTCCACATGTCCTTACTATACCTCATTATCACAGCATGAGCTACATTTTTCACAGGCTAATTTCACTGTTTTTCCATCAAGGCACTACATCAAAATTAGGAGCCGTAGTCTGTAGGATGTCAAACTTTTGCTATTATGTGCTGAACATGGGTCAACTCATACTACAGACAGGAGGACAAATACAGTATTCATCCATCTGTCTAGGGAAGCTGAAGCTCACATGACATCCAGAGACTATGACAGTAACATCCTTATTAAGTACCACTCTCTTCTCAACATATCAGTAGGCAGGTAAATGTTACTATCAAATTCAGAGAACTGTGGCAGGGAAGCAATAAGTGACTCGCCTCAGACTACAGAGAGGATCAGGTATGAGGTTGTAAAATATGCGATACGAACTATCACATAAGGACGCACCAGCCATGTCAGATCTGTATGAGCTACACCTATGACTAAGGGTAGCCTAACCTCAAAGTGCAGCACAATGCCATGATCCCTCCTCTACTCTGTAACATTGTATGCCAAGTGCAAGGAGCAACCAAGTTAAAACATCCTCCAAAAAGCTGCATCTGGCATAGACTATAGTGCTGCACTGCTGCCAGCAGTATGAGCATATGAAATAATGTCACAGCTTTGCAGAAATAGAAGTCTCATACTCAGTGAGTGAAGTTTAACAAGTCTTGAAAAGCAATGTCTCCACAGAGGCATATTAGCAAAATATTCATTATATAGAGACAAACTGCTAGGTACAGAGTGCTTGCAAGCAGACTGCCATATCCCTGTAAATATTAATTATTCAAACTGGCTCAGGGAAAACCTTAGCAAGTTCACATCCTATTTTATTTTTATTCTGCCAATCGAGTGTGAACACTACTAGCATTTAATACTAGCTTCTTGAAATTCAAACTGTGTCAGTTAGCTGCACAGGTTATCTGAAACTGCTCCTTACTTTCAATTTAAAGGGGGAAACAAAGGTAACTAGAAGACAGTTGACTCTTTCTGGATGACTCTCAGCTATGAACATAAAAAAAAAAAAATCTATTTTTCAGCTACAGTTAAGCTCACCTAATGTGCTAAAGTGCCATAGAAGTTTTTTTGTTACAACAGTGAAATGTTTTTTTCCTGAAATATACTTACTTATTTCCAATCTTAACCACAAGGTTAGGGTCATCAATGATAGCAGGATTGTCCACAAACTGCTGATATGTTACTGCATGTTCTAAGAATTCTTCTGTGGGGGGGAAAAATTGCATATGTAAAGCATGCATTTACAGATGCCTGGAGTAGGCCAACCTAAACCTCTTAGCATCTCTCAGACACATATGTTTCCCATTCAGGGTCAGCCCTTTATTACTAGCTGAGATTAGCAGCAATATGGAAGGAAGATGTTCAGAAACTCTCAATTTCAGAAGATGCTGAGGGTTTCTTTGTTAGCTGCTGGGCATCTTTACTGTTCAAAATAGAAGCTGAGTGAAGGCTCAGGAATGGAACTGTTAGGGAGGGAAATCAGGCTTCTAGGCAAGGCAACAAAGTACTTTGTCATGCCTTTCACTGATTCTTTGTGAACTGATGGGCTCAACGTATATGTAAACTCACAGCCAGAAACTTAATAATCACTTGTAAAGCCTACAGCAAAGTGAAAACATCTACAAATAAATATCCTATCCACTGGCTGTGACCCATTTCACAAAGGCTATGTCATTTACAAGTGATTCAGATAACAACACCACTCCAGTAACTCGGAGTAAATTTGATATGTTTTAATAACTACCTCCTGAACAGCAATCAGCATAGCATCAGGTTCATATGATTTTAAGATACCATATAACTGCAGAAAGTGCAAGTCATAACACATTTTCCTCGCATTATGCAGCTGGAAGTCTAAGGTACAAAGAATTGTAAATGATTTAGATAAAAGTCACAAGAAACTGGAGGTAGAGCAGGAACTCGGGTTAGAGCTTCCAACTCCCTCTCCCAGTGTCCCCATTTACAGACAACTTTTTTCATTCCTGACACTGACAGCTGTGAACTTCCTAGCTATACTCTGTACCAACTAGCAAAACTACCATTAACACTATTGTGATACAAAACATAGTACTATCAGGAAATAAAAATACCAATAAAATACTTTTAAAAATGTAGTATATAGTGGATTATTAAATGTGTTAAAACTCGTAAATCCTATAGAAGTCTATTATTTTAAGTATGAAAAATTCTAGGAAATCTATCATTGCAGAGACAATATTTCTCAACACATTCTTGAGTGCAGCCACAGGAGGGCACTGCTTCCACGGTCCAGGATGCTAAAACTTGAATGACAGCACATACCTGTCATTCAGAAAGTCATTCTGTACCTTTGGTTATTTCTTTGTTGTCAGTAAGGCCTCCGCAGAGAGAAATAGCAATGGAGGGCAAATCTCGAATTCCATCTGAGGTGTTTTCGACTCCACTGTCAACACCTGAGCTCCCAACAGACTGCGGAGACTGGCTGGCAGACCGGCTCCCTGTGTCGTTCACGTTCTTGCTTTGGACATTATCCCCACTGGAAAAGAAAAATCAGGAATTCAGTCTTCATATATTCACTCCCAAATTAGCTTCCTTCAACAAGCACCATTTCCAGCTGACACACACTTAGTAAAAAAGAAACAAACAAACAAAAAATTGCTTGGCTTCACCAGAATATTTTAACAAAGTAGCATAGGCATCCTGTACCTTCAAATATTAGATTGCTTCTACTTACTTGCCTAAACTATGCATGTATAATTACAACTTCACTTATTTACAAGCGATAGGAAAAATAAGGCACTAAACTGTACAGTCTTAGTAGACAAAATAATGCTACTCTAGGCAGAGTTTATACTAGTAGAACTATTTCTATAGGAACCAGAATAAACATATTAGTTTATTATTTAATTTATATTAAATAAACTGATAGCTAAACCCAAAGCAAAGAATGTGTATGTTTGTGTATTTACATGTCATGTACATATAAATAAAATACTCTACATATAAATTATGAGGATTAAAATTTTAAGAAACAATAAACCATTATACCCACTTAAAATCTGTGTATAGACGAGATCATTATTACAAAGGGCAGGCTCATCAAACTCTGCTTTCCATTCCAGATTTATATGAATGTATTTGAGAAAGGAATTTTCAATCCAACTTTTTTCTCCATATTACTAATCTTTCTCAGTTTTATTGAAATGCTAATATTACAACAGCTGAGTTTAAGCAAGCAAGAGAGAAAAATATGTAAGCTACTTCAGTTGTTGCTCAATTACTTTAGTCAAATGACTAGAGTACGATGTGGAAAGAGGACTATAAAATAGAGGCTCTAATAAAGATGGGAACAAGTCGGAAATTGTATATTCAGGATGCAATATTTTCATAAATAAATCTGTCATATGTCTTCCAAAAATTATTTTCTAACATTCGTATTTATAGGCGATCACTCAGAGTAAAACAACACTAGAGCAATAATTTTGTGCTAATACTGTTAATAGTAAGATATGTTCTTCACAGTATTAAGCTAGGACATGAGGACAGATATATCCCAAGGCCAATTGCTCTCCCAGGGTATGTAACACTCAAACATCAGTGTACATTACATAACAATCCAAAAAATCGATATATGATGCTTAATTGACCAAAATAGAAAATCAGTTTCAAGCACACATCTCAGGTCCAAATGCAGAGCCTTCCAAAAGCTCTAATACTCTCTTTACAGTGTTTTATTTTTCCTTCTGCCTTCACCTCTGCTTGGACTCTGAAACAGACGTCTTGGAAATTAAGAGTTTGGTTGGAAATTAAGAGTTTGATCTAAATCTGGAAGATGACAAGAGCTCTTTAAATAGCAAAAATATAAGCAAAGGACTTATACTTCTTGGGGAAATAAAGTGCAGCAACTTCTGGATCCATATCAGTGAGGTCATCTAAATAGACACCATCAGCACCAAGATGTCGGCTTCGTTTGTCTGTAAGGGATGGCACAAATAAGCCTATTAATGAGCATTTTCTGAGTAACAAGGCAGAACTGTTATTAGTCTTTAACTATTCATTTTAAGATTGAGAAACCAGACAAGTTATAACAGTTTGTAAATATATTTGTATAAAACGGTACTGCCAAAAATTTCAAAACAAGTTGCTCATATACATTGTTCAGACTTCGAATACACAAAATGGGACAGCAGAGAACTAGTTTTGAGATATGTTGAAGCCTCCCTAACCCAGACAAAACCGATGAGAATTAGAAGTCAGTGGTAGAAAACAGATGTAGAAAAACAGCAAAATTAAAACTGAGTATTTTCACGGGCCTATTAACACAGTAAGACAATCAGAGCATTTTATCTCTGAGAACTAATCTTCAACCCCCTTGGAAAATGAACATGACACAACAGACTATACTATAGGCACTAATACACTACAACTGGCTTGTTATGGAGACAACTCACTGTTCAACACATAGAACTGATGTGTTGTGTGTGCACATGCACCACTGCAGGAGACAAGACAACCCTCCTAGGTCTTTCACTAGTATCAACATACAGAATCATGGTTGTCTAGATGTACCAGTAACAACAGGACAAGTAACCACTGCAGGGCCAAAACCTAATTTGGAATTCATTCTAAAGCCCACGACTTCTCGCTGTCCCAATTTCCAACGTCAAACAGAAAAGCAATCAGAAAAAGAAGTTATGTAAAGACTGAGTAGTAAGCAGAATAACACTGTCATTTTTGTCTTCAAAGACAGTGGAATGCATGGGAAAGTGGCTAAGAAACTTGTGTGTTTACTGATTAAAAAGCAGCTGCCCAAACTAGGCTTATATATGGCTTACATAATTATAGAATAATCAGAGCTCTAAAACATAACATTTGTAAGCAAATAAATTTCATGTGAAGACTATAACACTTATTATAAAATACCATGGATACGGAGTCCAGAAATTAAGAAGTAGAAAAGCAGACGAAGTTAAATTTCAAATTCAGGACAGAACACGTACCACACAGAACTGAAATTGCTCATGTGAAACAAATGCACCTTATTTTATGGCAAATCTGTTGTTTGTGCAAAAGACTTAATACAACTTTGTACCAGAGCAGAGAGGTTCCACAATCACCAGTGACACGTAACAACTTAGTAATCAGAGAAGGTAAGCCAGCAGACCTACAGTGTGATTGTACCAAAAAGTGAAATCTCTGAATCTGTCAAATATGGATGAATTTGGAGCAATTTTTGCAGTCTTGCTCATACACACAGAGCTGCCAGAAATCCCAGACCAAGGAGAATCTTCTACCTTAATACATGGCTCCTGTGAACAGCCTGCTGCACAGCTCAGGTTTTGAAGATTCTTTCCAAAGATTATTCCTTTCCAGATCTGAAAGTGCCTTCAGAGCACAGATTAATTTATATGGCAATGAGATGCTTTATCACCATGAAATTTAAAGACAAAATCATACATATAAAAGTGCAATGTCAACACCTTTACCTTTCTTTCTGGAAGGGGAATCTGTCTTGCCAGCTGGCTGAGCTGAGCAGGCTGCAGCTTGTTTTATTTCTTCATTGGCAAGCAACTGTGGTACAGCTGCTCCTGGAGACTCTATCTCTGGCTTATTTGTCTCAGCTGGTAAGGGGTCACTTTCATCAGCAGTTGCTGCATCTGCTTGTCCAAGGGCAGGTAGAGGAGACACGGTGTTAAACTCCTCTACAGAAGAGCTCTGGATGACCCGAAAGTGAGTGCTTTCAGAAGGACTGACTTCCACCATGCTGGGTTCCTTTGCTTTGAGCAGAGAACTCGCCTGTGAGGAAAAATAAACAGATTGCTGTAAAGAAAAGCTCCTTAAAAATGCAAGCCAGAGTTTAACCTGTTCTGTTCACTCCAGTGCGATCAAATTCTCAAGGCAACCAACTACAGCACAAAGCCACCACTAACTGAGAAGGAGTCTACAGTGTACAAAAGACCCCTCTACTGTGTATTTGCTTGTGCAGAATTCATCTCTATCTTGGGGCCAGGAAATATTTGTTCTGCAACGTGCTCTACAGACTTCATTTCCCACTCACCTGCCTGGGAGCAGATTACAGCTCCCACCCTGCCCTCCTCCCCTCCTGTGCAAATCTGAGCTTTTCTTCAGAATGTAACCCTGACAAGCATGAGAAGGCAGTGCAAACTGGAGTCCTTACACAATCAGGATGCTCTCAGGGACCAGGACTGGGGTGCACTGTCATACATCTACACTCCAGATTTAGATTTTAAATCACTTTATAGAAACAATCCTAGATCTTCTCTGAGTGTGGGACAGGAGGTGTTCTTACAGCAGGAAGCTGAACTCCTAGAGCAGCAGCTGTATAGCTGCTATAACCTTCACGTCATAAAACAAACAAACTCTTAGACAAAGATCAACAGCATCCAAAGCAAAACTCTTGGTTCTGGTATGGCCAGATCAACTCTGAATGGCTTGGATAGGGTCACAGAGAGGGACTGCAGAGGGAAAAGCCTCCAGGAATAAGATTTGCAATACACACCATGCTGTATGACTAGAATAAAAATGAAACACCCAACTCTACTAACAGGAAACCCTAAATTCTAGACTAGAAATGCCAATTTGAAACTCCTGCCTGGACCTGTGCACTTAAATCAGTTCTCTATGTACAGAAAATAGCTCTCAATTTTCTTGTAATATACATGAAGAGGCGAATAATGCAGATGTGATGGGACAGCTCATCTTTGGCTTACTAGAGAAGAGGTCAGAACTCTTCTAAAAGAATTAAGAATTCTGGATTCCCATCCCTGCTTTTGTCACTAGCTACCAACAGTGACTTAAAGATAAATTATAATAGTGCCATTATAATTCTGGTGTCAGAATTATAATGCAAAAGTCTTCTTTCTGAAAAGGATACCCACTTCCTTGGCCTGCAAAGCAGTAATTTTCTTTCTTTATACTCTTCCTGACCCCATCACTCCTGCAGTCCTTTCTGCAGAGAAGCCAGGCTTCAGCAGAAGGGGCCAAACCCTGCACCACCCCTGCCCCCCCAGTTGCAGTATGCCACTGGAACCTGACCTTTATTTCTCACACCCTGAGGCAGGTGTAATCACTAAGTCTTCCCTTTCATGTATGAATGCTCTGGCTCCATAGCTGTCACAAGGAGCCGGCTGGTACCGGACTGACCTGCAGCATACGCAGCTGCACATGGCTACTGTGCAGCAGGGAGACAATGCTGCTGGCACGCTACAGATCCTGCCACCTAACTGGGCCAAATGGCTTCAGGGAGGAGACGGGCACCAAGCCAGTCTGCTCAGCCAAGAGAACAGCATGTCTCAGCATGCAGAGATACAGAACTGCAGGTGTTTCTGGATGCTTATGTACTCAAGCAACCGATTTTAGTTTTTGTGAATCACACTGCTAACACCAACCACCTAATTTCCATCTAAGATCATTTACAAATTCCAATGATTTACCAAAGGACATTGGGTTTGATTTTATATGTTATTTAAGCTTCTAACTTTTGCAAGACTAGGTCTCAGGTACTTCTTCATTTTCTACTGTGTATCATCAGTGTTGAGAACATCCATGGCACAAGGTCCTTTCCTGTACCTCCTAAGGAGCAAGATGCAATTCTCTTAAACAAAACATTGCAATCTGATGTAAAAACAGGATCCATTCCTCCTTTAGCAGTTTGCAATAGAATAAGCACATGTGCCCCACTAAAGCGCAATAGATGCTGGCAGGAATTAAACAAATTACACTCTATACCTTTGCAGCCTGGGGTAGCTCTCCCCATGCCCAGTGCATGTGGGGATTACTCTTCAATCCGCTTCTGTCTGTAGGTTTACTGACTAATTCTGAGTCACTTTGAGGGGTAGGAGGGCGTGAACCTGATGGGCTGAAGTAAAACAAACAAAAAATATTACAAAGCAAACAGTAACCACAATGCACTAAACACTTTCCAAACCAATACCCACCAACCCAAAGCATTTGGAAGTGTGTAAGCATGGAAAAAGTTTAAACAGCTCAGGATCATCTTAGACTAGCATTCAGAGATCTCATCCATTTTTTAGTAAGTGCTGTCACAGGAGTAGGATTTGAGAAGCTGAGAGAGATGGAACAAGAGCACTGGACCTGAACATCTCAGGAGGATTTTTGTTTTTCTATGTGGAAAAGAGAATGGGGATGGTACCAGCAGCAGTAGATGAACAGATTTTAGTATTGTTATAACAGACGTGAAGTGCAGAAATTACTCGCTCGCATCAACAAGACACTTTATGCTGACTAAGTAATAAATTAGTCTAAGGAATCCAGCTGATTTCTTCTTTCTACAGACTTGTTCAGTTCTACCCTTTCATGCACATTTATAGGGAAATCAGCTACGCAAAGAATTTGAGCCCTTCCAGTTAAAAATTATTTAACTGTTTGTTTTGCTGACTACTTAATATAAAATATTTAATTGGTAAATTATCAGTTTGTAGCATATTTTTAATGGGGTAAAGTCACTAATGTGATGTCAAGTCAGCCATAAATAAGTAATGATTCACAGATTTCAAGGACAAAAGTAAAAGTTCTGATTATCTGCTCTGCCTTTCTGCATAAATTAAGTCATAGGATTTCACCCCAAACCCCCTGAACAAAGTCCATTAATTTTTGTCTGAGTCATAGCATGTCTTTGGTATATTTGTACAATCCTCATTTAAAAACTACAAGCAACAAAAGAATCCACAACATTCCTTAATCAAAGGTCTGAACTGAGTTACCTTCACTCTCAAAACCAAAAGACTTCCTATATTTAGTATAAACTCTTCATGTTTGATTTATTCTTTACCTTCTTCTGGATAAAATGAATACCCAAACCAGTTCTGCTCTTTCAATGTAAGGCAGTTTTGCAGAGCTAGCTGGTAAGGAATTCATTGGTCACTGGAAAATAATTACTTTGCACTAACACAAAGCAGCTTTCAAATATCTGTAAATTTCACACCTGGAAAAAGAGCAACCTAATTATCTACATTAGTCCTTGTTTTCATCTACGTTGCAGTAAGATATCCTTTGAATATGGACAAACGCTATGACTTTTTAGCTACAGATAATTATGTCATCCAACTAAACTATAAAATTTATAAGCAATACCAGTGTGGCATAACTTTTTTGGTCCTAAGAATTTCAAGTTTTTATTAGTCCTACCATTTTGACAGATGAGGAAATCAATACAAAGTGATTTTTAAAGTCTTTTTAAACTCTAAGGATTCAAGAAATGTCTGGTGGGTTTTTCAGCAACTTCTACATCACACTGACAAGTTTACAGGATTTACAGCATTTTCCATGTATCTAGGGCCCATTGAAACTGTGGAAGTCAGAAAATTTCAGTAAGCAGTAGTGCTTCTACTGCTGCTTTAAGCCAAAAACATCTAGATTTAAGGAAGTGTTGTCACTGCACAAGCTAATCTATGCACTACACACATTTTAACCTTCAAAATACCTACTGTTTACTTAGAAAAATCTCCAGTCTGGGCTCTGGCTTACGTCCAGCCCAGGTGCACTTACCTAGACAGACAACCTGAGAGAATACAGGCACTGCTTCAGTTTGAGCTAGAACCTCTGTTTTGCAGTGAGAACAGGGATCTCAGGTAGGGGGGGAATCCTTCCTTTTCCATAATTTTCCCTGAAAATACAGTTCCCTTGTGCACACAACCAAGTGGGGAAGAAGCCCAGGCTGCTACTCAGCATCAAGACCCATGGTTTATATTCCCAGACACATACATGCAAATGCCAGAAATACAGCACTTGCATAAGTGTGTATGTTAAAACAGGCAGAGTTCTGCTCTGAGAAGGATCTTGCTGTGAAAGGCTGCCTGATGATCCATGCACACGTCTGGGTTATTGGTTCAGAGTAGATATAGCTACAAGTATAACCATGGTAAATCAGGAATGGGGTGAGCATCTAATCCCCAAAATACTACCCACTCTCCCAAAACAACATTCACAAAATACACGCTGTCTGCTGAACATTTGTCACAAGCACAATGGAAACTTCATAATTCTCATTCTATAGACACAACTTTTCTATACAATAAAATACCGATTCAGTATTTACAAAATGTTAGATCTTCAGAATTCTTTTCAGCTGATTTCTCCTCCCTGTAGATTGGTGTATAAATGCTAATAGAGCCTCAGGGTAGACCAGAATTATCACTGCAATGTCATCTTAATTTAAAAGGCCCAAAGACTGAATCAAACTGCAAACATATATCCACAAGGCAAACGGGGTAAACTATTTTGTTTGTATAAAAGGATACCAAAGCATTCCCATTCCTTATATCATCTGGAACATAAGCTGGAATATTCTATGCCACCCACAAACATTAACACAGGGTTGGTGGCCTCCTGACGAGAGCTGATTTTCCATTACCGAGAAATACATTTACTCTTTTCTTCATATGACATATTGTTGTTTAGTACTAAATAGCTACTCTCACCAACTAATATTCCTCTGGAACAGCAACAATAATCTTGTAGTTTACACTACAAGACACAAATGGCAATTATGCCTACTACAGTCCTGTTTGTATAGTTCTGCTTCCATATGTAATGACAAATGTCTTCTGCTTTACCCACACTGGGACTATTGTGGCTGCTATTCACTTCATAGTACTGCCACCAAAGCAAAATGAAGACTAACAAAGCTCACAGTCACATTCCTTTAATTTTTTTTTTAGCCCAGTTAGGTCAAATTAAACCCTGAATTAATGTTACATTTGCACTAGGGGTCAATAAGGCTGAATACCAAAACCATGTAGGATTTTTAACTCAGACAGTATCCTGCAAATGCATCCATGGACCAGACTCAAAATGGGTTCGTTATTCATTATACCACCAAGACATTTGGGCTGACATATGCCCTACAATTGCCCTGTCTGTAAATGAGACACTCACCCAGCCCAATTTAAGTTCTCTTGCCTTACATAGATTGCTGAGATATTGAAGACCAAACTAGAGCCACCCATCCTGTCAACACTGCACAAGAAGGAAGGGAAACTTCACTTCAGGAATTTAGATCAGCATACATGATTCACACCCCATAAACGCTGAGTATTTGTGTCACAGACCTATGTATTCTTAACAGCTATGATTGGCATTGGATTACAGTAAGTAACTTGGTCTGTAGTTGGCAGGTCTGCAATAACAAACCACCATGATCTTTGTAGTGTTTCCCACTGAAAGCAAAGAGCCACCTAAGAAAGCAGCAGTGTGACTTGAGAAGAAGTCCTGTCTTGAATGAGGCCAAATAAACCAGGGAAAGACAGTCAGAAGCAAAGAGTTCTACCTCATGTACATGTCAAATCACTCACTGAGAGCCTCTGAACCTCCTTTGAGGTGGCCATAATAAAAGTTTCTTGTTTCACAGAGGAAAACAGTTGCAGACACAGAGAGGGCCTTACTCAGACAAATTACTACAGCACTTTAGCTGTGTATCTAGACTGCAGGACAGGTAGAGTCCAGACCAAGGTTCATGGAGCCACCCAGAGCATACCACTGCTCCATCTGAACCTGTGTGCCTGCCCTTCTTTCCAGGAAAACACTGAGGAGAACAGCCTTGAATGTCCCAGGATCTCGCCTTGACTTGGTGCTGCAACATGGTCAGGTTAAAGAGGGCAGATGCAGAAGCTGGGAAAACCTCAAGATTATTAGTTTTGATACAGCCTTAGGCATCCAGTATGGCATCTATGTTGAGATAAGCTATGAGCAATTTAGCTTGATTTATTACTCAAAGCTTCCTCAGCATTAATGGAGAATTACAGAGGTCATATTCAGACAACTTCTTTTAATTTTTTAGCTGAATTGCTGTGACTTCTCTCCATTTACTTAATGGAGATAAAGGGCCTAGTTGCAGAACCTTAGACATCTCAAATTTAAGGTATCATTAAAAGTGTCTGTATCTACTTTTAGCTCTGTAGACAAGAGTCCAATCAGAAGAATCCTATACCACAGCAAAGAGTTAAGTCTGGGTCTCCTAAACCTTAGACATTATGCCTTATCTATTGTGTCATCTTTACTGTACAAGATGCTCCCCCACTGCAATCCAGCAGAGTCTTCCCTTCCCCCAAACCAGGGAACAAAGGAAAAAAACCTCTTTTGGTACTGTGCTCCTCCCATTACAAATTTTGCACTCATTGTTCACTTAACCTGAGGCCTTTGCTTTGCTTTTACTTTTGAAACCTATGCACAAGCAAACAACTCAGGAAAACCATGGGATAAAAAGGTCATTGAAATATACACTGACTGTAAAAAGCCACGTGGAAATGTACATCTCCAGAGGAATGTAAGTTTTCACTAGCTAAATTCTTTCTTTCTTTTTTCATCTTAAGCAACTTCAGTTTTAACCCAGATTTCCACTGGCCTGCTTATATACTAGCCATCTTCATTCAATGGACGATTCATCAAGGTAACTTACCTCCAGACAATGCCCACAAAGAAGCAAAGGAAGTGGGTTTCAGTGTCACTTTCTTTCTAAGTGTCTGGGTTAGCGATAAATGGCAGTTAGAAATTCAAGGAAGTTCACATACTATGAATGTGTTAAAAGCGTAGTAATGTGTTAAAAGGATTAAAGAGCAGCCCAGAAAAGAGGGAGGACAACTGTTCTACCTGTCTGGAGGAGAAAAGTGAGAAGATTGTTGAGGACAAGAGTTAGACAGGCCTCCGTCTGCTGGAACAGTGAGGAGAGAGGATTGCCCTGTGCAATCTATAGGTTTACTGGACAGCACAGCATGTTGGTAGAAAGAAAAACAGGGTGTCATTATTCACAAGTGCTGATTAACATAAGATCTTTGTGCATTAGCTACATGAATGCTGAATTTACATCTAGAGTTTTCAAAATCCAGAATACTGCAATCAAGAAACAAACAGAATGTACAGTTCAAACAGCCATCAAAGGGGCAGGGTATTGACAAATGCTGCCACCAGACTGGTGAAGCTAATCGCATTAAGCTTCACAGTCAGTGGAGAAAGATTCTTCCAGAATGCAATTCAAAACATTAAAATTCGGCTGTTGCTATGAAATAACCTCCTTGCTCTCCCTTCTTCTGTCCCTCAACTACAGAGGCAGTATATTGAGATTAGTCTTCTTAGGATAAGGTCTTGTGAATATTGCTCCACTCCAATAGTCTTCACAGAGGATGACAGGCATGTGCACGGGGCCACACATGTAGAGACTTCACTGGAATTATAATGCAATGCACATTAAACAAAAAATTGTGCCTTTTTTTACACTGTTCCATAGACACAAGAAAGGAGGTCCAAACTGATCTGTTTTGACATCAAAAGTATACACATGGACACAAATACACATACAGAAAAAAGTAAGCTATTTACTATATGTGTTGTTTTCACACAATAAATATGTCTATCTAACTGCAGTTCTATAGATTAGCTTTGAAATGGACACAAAAAGCTCATAGTCTCATTCCTTAAAAAAAAATAATCTTATTTTTATACATCAACTCAAATCTTGTAAGTTCTTAAAAGGATTACACCCAAAGTACTACAGATTTATATACCTGCATTCACTGAAGTCCTTACAAGGTGTGTGCATCAGGCAAAGACTCAGATTTCACAAAATGTTCATCCTCTCATACAGTTGTATGCAAACAGTGACATTAACAGATATAAATATTCTTTAGCATTTGTAGGCTTGCATTTGTACGCGTGCATTTGTTGAATCAAGGACAAAGCTAACCTGAAGTTTTTGTACACTAATTTCCAATATAGAAGGCATTCATCTAGTAATTGACAGTGACCACGTTTGATACCAAAATTTTTAGTAAGACTATATAGCACTAGCATATAAGACAGTAATGGAAAGAGGAAAATTATTTAGAACTGTACTACCAGAAAAAGTACCTTTGAAGAGGTGACCATTCTCCTTCTGAATGAGGGTAAGATGCAGACTGAGAAAATGTAGAAACTGCAGCAGCCTTTATGTCAGATACATCATCAACAAACACATCTGGAACAGGGATCCTAGGTATAGGGAAAGATGTGACGTTTAAAACCATACTTGATTACTGAACTGTCACATACTTCAGATAACAAAAAACCCCTACTGCAGAGAATTAGTATAACCTGAACTAAAAAGAGATAAGAGAAACGTTATCTGACTCACAGCTTCTAGTTCACAGCATGATGGAGGACTGCTCTTGTGTTTTCAATGTCATTTTCATTACTTTTGTTGTTAACATTCCCAACAGCTTTTTAGCCTAAAGTTTTTTCTTAAAGAAACATGTTCATCAGCCATGTTGATAGAAATTACTGTTAGAAGGTATGAAATGGAACATTAACCCAACAAGGAGGTTTCCATTACATATCTCAATTCCACTGTGATACCTTGAATTGTCCAATGGTTCTTCTTCTTCCTCTGAGCTAATCTCTATAGGAAACATGTCTTCATCTTCTGATGTGTCTCCAATGTCTTCTCTTTTTAAGCTGTCTATTTTATGTGTAGACTTCCTTCTCTTTTTCCTTCTTTTTTTCACAGAGCTACAGACTGGAGATGTCTCAGTAGAAGGCTGGGATCCATGGGCTTGGGGTGGTACTTGTGAGGATGCACTGGTGTCCAGGTTTCTTATCCTGTCTATGGAGTTTCTCTTCAGCTGAGCTTCCATTAAAGCAGTTCCCTCAGACAGAATGGGAGATGTGGAGAGATGATAAGGAATCACCTCCTGAGAAAGAAAAATTCAAACCATCCAACATATTAGTTCCTCCACCAGTCATAAATATAATTCTAAAAATCTATGCAGAATTGCCAAAATCTAAGTAATTTATTCATCAGCAAAGTAACAAAGATCGGACATCTGGATGCTAAGTATGATCCTATAGCATATAAAAATTGTTCCATAGCTGCATCTCCTTAGAAAAGCCAGGAACAATACTCTTAAAGAGGATCCTCTGCACATCTAGTACTGGCCAGATTATGGCATGAGTCTCTATCCACCTTCTGCTACATACAGGGCAGAAACAAAATCCCAGTTTATAAACTGAACATTTTGTAAAATACAGTTCTCCTTCACAACTCAGCAGATAGCAGTCAGACAGGTTTATAACTAGGTCACACAAACAGTGTCTTATTCAATCATATATATATACATCTCTAGACACTCACACAAGTATTTCTAGCAATTTTCAGTCACCAAATAATTGTTACCACATGGAAGATTTAAACGTAAAGATATACGGATGAATACTGCACATCCACACATCTCTCACCTGAAAGTAGTAATATAAGAATTTGAAAACTCATCCCACGCCGGACAGTGACAAAAACTATTGGGAACATGTGAAGAGAAATGCCTGTAAAAAGCTATTCTTACATTTTATTATGTGTGGAGTGTTCAAAATGATTGTGGCCATAACTTATATAGGCTAGCATTTAATCACACAGCTCAACAGCAGGCATTCTCATTTAAATGTAATCCCACATGAATAATAGTTGCAAGATCACATCTTTGGTGAGTACCAAAATTACTGTGTACACAGACATTTACAGGGCATGTGCACTTTTACTGGCAGTCTGCTGAATGCGTACGTTCAAAGAAAAGATTTCTGAAAAAAACAGGTCCATGGACATACTAACCTCTGTCGTACACACCTTCAGAGCATGTGAACTCTGTACGTGTTATTTCTGTTCACATGTTGGCACGCACATAAGCTAGGATTTATTTTTCAGTTATGCGATTACCTTCTCTGGATTTTTCCGTATCTCAGCAACTCAAAAAACAAAGTAACTGCATAGGATTGAATTTCCATAGCAGAAAATTGTCCAGAAGCTTTCAAAACTATAAAATGGGTAAAGGTATGTTTTTCAACAAAATTCCTAAACTCAAAACTGATTCTGAAGAGCAGGCATTGAATTTTTAACAAATTAAAATTAGTTTTGACTCTTACCCGATCATTATCCATCTCCTGCACAAAAAAGGCCTCTCCATTGTCTCCTAGTTTCATGTGCAAATCTACAGCCTCTCCATTAATTTCTATGTCAACCTGGAAGACAATAAATATATTTTCATATGAAAATAAAGTTATCTTAGGTACACTGTTCAGCTGTCCTTCCACTGACACTGGGCAAATGCTTCTCAGGGAATTGTAGAAAACCTTATAATAAACATAAAATAGTGAACTTCTGTTTCTCTCCTTATCTCTTCACAAGACCATCAACTGACAAAATATTTCTTCTAACTCGTTCAGCTCATTGTTGTCTTGCTCCTCTACTCAGGAAGGTTTATAGACATTGTATAAAGTCCTGAATCTTTTTAAATGCAATTCTGAATGCCTGACAACACAAATCTTTTTGCTCTTTCAATTCATAGCCTAATTTTGAATTGTGCAAGTACTTCTACAAGCAAATTCTTATATGCTGACTTTCAAATTCATTAAACAGACTTCTCTTTACACTGTGAGAAGCACAAATAAGAAAAACTGTTTTACGTTCTCAACATAATTCACGTGTCTATTTCTTCCACACGTTTATCTCACCACTATACAGCCCCAACTATTTCCATTGCTTCTCAGGAGGATCTCTTTCCTTGCCTATAACCATTCTTGCCACCAATTCCATTTTCACTGTAGTTTTGGGGGACACTTTGACAAGTCTACATTTATATTATATTTAAGGACACAGTATACTAATGGCACAGTAACATTTTCAACTTTTATCCATCGTAAATATCGGAATTCCTTTCTGATTTAGGTAAGAATTTAAGTATGTCTGTGATGACATTAAGATTTTCTGCTGAACAATTATAGCTACATTAGAACCTAGACTGTATGTAGTTACAAATTATTTCATAAAATAATCTGTCATACATTACTCACTGGCAGCTTTGCATCTGGTATCATACTGCCAGGTCATTCAGCCTGGTCACATTTATCTCAAGGTCCTCACTGATTTTTCTAGCTTTAATTAACCTCAACATTCTGTTAGCTGAATATATTACTTCATTATTACCTTCCTCTTTGTAACTATCATTGAACATGTTGAACAAAGAGATCTCAATACACAGACATTAAGGAAATCTAGTATAGGCCCAAATTAGCACATCCAAAATTTTGCTTTATTGAAAACAAACATTATAAATGTCATAACTTGTTTTGGCTTTATTATAGTCAAGCAAAATGGAAAAATCAGTAACAACCATTTTAATTGAACCTTGCCTCAGTTTAGGCACTTTATAAAGAACGTCTAAAGAAAACTTTGACCAGGACACCACAGGACATCCAGTAACTTTCATGTTATTAGAGTTAACCCACAGACAGCACATAGCAAAATTGTGAATTTTCTTACCACTTTCTCCCTAGAACGTAGAACTCCCATTTTCCCAAAGCGTACGTGAAAAGGGGAACACTGAAGATTTCCATCTGGCTGACGTACAACAATTATATCTATACATCCTGACAATGTGGCTGGGTTTAGTCCCTTATAGAGCTCCTTCACAGTTACAAACACTTGCCCTGCTAACTGTCCAACGTAATTCATGGTTTGGACCTGAAAGGTAAAAGATAAATAAGATTTTGATCTCCACTTTGTATTTTAGAGACATTTGAGAGATAGACTACAGCAGCGGGGTATTCTCCTGTTTCACAATTTAACAACTTCACATAGAATCAGGATTTCTCACCTAATTTATTTACAGATGATGCATGTTTGTAGAGAGTTATTAAAAGACAAAAGCGAAAGAGACCTTTTAAGTCAGAGAATTGTAACAACTTTCAAAAGTTCATAAAATCAACTGCATTCAAATCCACTGTCAGACTTTTAGACTGCAGTTCATAAATGTCTCCAATTATCTCTGAAGACAAAAGCATTCATTTCAAAATAACATGTCCTCCTATAATTTATTGTGCCCTCAACATCAAATACACTTTTTCTCATGTATTTCTACAGGCTTTTAAGGACAGTGCAACTGAATGGTTTTAGGCAGATCTAATTTTCCACTACACTGAAGTCAAAGACTATTTTCCCCCCTTTAAAAGGATTTCTCCCATTAAAAAATTATTATAATGCACACGCAGAATAGATAAGCATTGAGGTTCAACAAGCAACCTTCAAACCAGTGTGTCTGAACTTCAGAGTGCTTCTTAATGCAACTTTACCATTCTTGTTTTAAAACAGCCTCTTAGTATCAGCAGGTTTATTAAAAATTAGGCATGTGTTGATGATTGAAGTGATTGGCTTTCCTCCCCCTGCTTCTGGATTTATTTAGTACTTAGCATTCAGTGTCCTGATTCTACTCCATTAAAGCTGTTTATGATCCATTAATATATTTAGTCCCCTGGACGGGACAGCATGCATACTTAGACATACTTAAAAGTTCAAAAAGCCTTTTAAGGGCTCTCAAAACATAAATTAATGTAAGCAGATACCTTCCTGAACAGTACAGATTCTAGGGACTTCCAATGTCTATTGTTTTAATTATTTTTCCAACACCTCTTGCAGATTCTAAAATACTGATTTCAGCAAAGTCCTTGTGCACTCAGTAAAAAGCATATGCCTCACATACAAGTTTTTGCTAGGCTTTACTACATCACCTGGACATCAATAAGAGACACTTGAAGGGTAGGAAATGCTAAAACTCCCACTGATGGTGATGAGAACAGAACTGAGCTCAGAGACAGTCACTTCACTGAGCAGCACAGCATGTGTTAACCAGCATCAGCTGCTACAGTACTCTTTCACCTGTGTTCTTTCATAACCAACAAAAAGATGTGAGAAATGCTGTAAAAATAGCTCCAATTTTTAACTGTGATTTATACTTAGAAACAAAAATCTATTAAAAGAATACAATGAAAGAATTACAATAAAAAAATGGAAAATTAGGAAATGCTATCATTAAGGCCAGTCTCTTCACGTGTAGCTGTTCTAATGAATTAATCATCACCTGTGTTTTCTTCCAAAAGCCTCTCCACCTAGAATGGACTGCAGCTTTGCTTTCTTCTGTTTCTATTGCAATACATGGGTATCAAGACACAAACCATGCTCTGAAGAAAGAATTATATACGTTCCTTTGGACTTTATGATAGTCATCACTACATTGCCTCTGAAAAGTGATGGTGGTCTCCCCACATGACAACTGGGGAGCTGAATTGCAAAAAGATTAAGATTCAAACTAGGCACTAACTTCAGAAACCAAAGAGACTTTTTTGAAGTATTTAGTATACAAGACATTAACTAATGAAAGAAAAATCCCTAAATACTGTTTGGAGAATCATTTCTGCAGAGCCCTCAATTCAAGCATCTAGAAAGTACCACCTACTGAAAAGTCAACACACAAAAACTTCATGGCAGAAAGAGCCATGATTATATTCAGTTCTTCAGCATTAAACTGGTATTGGCACTTCTGGGCTCCAACTATACATTAGGAACATGCCTCTCTCAATGCAAATCTAGTGCTGAATGGTTTCATAGGGAACTGCACTTGAAACTCATGCTGCACCCAATGCTCTGTCATGGAACAAGAGGTTGAAACTGACCTGTAGAGGTCACCTAGTCCAAAAAGTCTGCCTGAAGTGGGGTCAACTTGGACCAGGATGCCCACAACCCTGGTCCTGATGAGTTCTCAATGTCTTCAAGGATGGAGATTTCTCAGTCTTCCTGCACTCCTGTTATGTTTGCCAGTTCTCACAGCAAAAGTTTTCTTCCCAATATCTAAACTGAATTTCCCTTGTTGCAACTTGTGCCTGTGGCCTCTTGTGCTATTACTGTGCACCTCTAAAATTGCAGCTGTGTTTCCTCTATACACCCCAACAGCTAATTGAATACCCTAAAGACTGAATAAAATGAGCTCTCCCAGACTCTCCTTTTAAGTCATAAATTCTTAGCATCCTAATTGTCTTGGTGGCCACCATATGAACTCTTTAAAAAGCTGGCACCAGACAGACACAGAGTTAAGTTCAGAAGTGAGCCTCCAGCTTGACAAAGGTAAGCAAACTTTCAAAATTACCCCTCTGCTTTGGAAAACCACTTCATTTTCTACTGGGCATTTTTCTAACCTAAAGCACAATAAGAAACAATATTCTTATTAAGCAAAGATTAAAATTAAAGATTGCTACAATTAGACTCAAAATTACATGGTGTAGTTCACCCCAGTTAACACTTGGTCTGCTGAAGCAACAAAATTTCTAAGTGCAAAATTGCCACAACTTCCTTGGTGGGGAAGGAGTTGCTGGGACAGTACATAGACCTCGCTGTTTGGGAGAATTATGGGCAAACAATCCAAATATGAGGACTCACACATCCTCTTAACAAGTTACACCAGCAGGTCTCCTAAGCAGAAACTTTTGCAACTATTCTTGTTCACAACAGATCTTAGTCACACTGCCTGCCCTGTCTTAGGACACAGATTATTTTTATACTCATGAATTAAAATTAAGTTAGACACCATCCTCAAACTCTGAGGCCAACTGGCACAGCACAGCTTGCTTCCATACAGTGAAAAACTCTTATTCTTTAAAAATAAAGTGCCTCATTCTGTCAGCTGGTGATGGACACTGCTTTCAAGATAGCCTGAACCTGACCTGTGCAACAAAATCACTGCAGAATTAAAAGACAAACTGGAAGACTAATCACATGAAACCAGACAAAAATGGTTTTATATTTCAAACGTAGCAAACAAAAGATGCTGTAGTTAAAATGGGGGAGAGTTCAGAAATTGGACTCCAATGGATGCAGGCCCTTTATCCTAACTTTTATACATGCCAACCAAAGCTGAGAGTGGAGTCTGAAGTTTGTTAGTTTATACCCCGAATCTAAAGTCAGTCCATTCTATGTCAGTACTCCAGGAAACCGACATTCCTCAAACCCCAAAGAGATTGCATGTGGTTCTGGAGCAACATTTCACTCTGGCCACTCCAAGAAGTCTTTCACTTACTCACCAGACAGCAGCAACTTCAGCAGTAAACATGAGTTTACGTCATGGGTTAAACCCCTAGTGCCTTCCTGTTAATTATACTGACTTTAGTAAACCTTTTGTTCTTATACCATACTAGTGGACATAGAATACAATATTTTCTGATGCTGGAAAAATTCAAAATCCTCTTGATCTAATATTGCAGCAAGTGAGAACAGTCTGTACTGCTTCTGTCAGGATTTTCAAATGGCTTCAGTATTGTTCTTTGCCAGGAAGCACTCCACAGCTCTACATTATGCATCTACTGTGAAATTAAAAGTATTTTCTAGTATAATTTTTAATGTCAGTTTAACTATCATCACCTGCCAGATGGCTCGTAAAATGTCCAACTCTTTTGATTGTTAAAGACAGCAGTAATTTTTCAGAATTGATCATCCTGTGGAAAAATAAGTGAAAAATGAATAGCTAGGTGTTCTCTTATTACTTACGTGGTTTATTAACTTAGCAAAAATTGACCTAACAATATTAATTATTTAAAGTCTCACTCTACTGGATGCCACAGTAAGACCAAATGCACTATCATCCAGATAATCCACTTCTTTCATACGTGTACACTATGTCCTAATTCCACTGAAAAACCTAGTAATTGTACCCTTCGTGGCCCATTTTTTTCAGACCAGCTCTTCCCCACACCATTTCATCTTTCTTTACTATATTTTGTAAAATAAAATACTGAAAGTCATAGGAATTAAAAGGTTCCTTTTTTCCTTTCACAAGATTCAGTGTCTCTTCAGCCATCACAACACAACAAATAACACACCAGATATCCACACACATCTGAATTACTTTGGGATACAAGTGCTATTCAACATGCTCTAAAGACAGAAAGTTTTCAAAGAAAAAACCCCATGATTTAGGTAGCATGCTGTAAGAGTAACTAAAAACTGGAACACATTTCCTTCAGAAGACACAAAATCTCCAGTACAGAAAGTTCTGAAGACCAGTACAAACATCTGTTGGGACTGGTTTAGGAACAGGCAATTGTAATCTTTGGGACTGAGGCTGTCACTGTGCCTGAGTCCAAAGCAGTAAACCAAAGCATATCACATCACAGACCCAACCATTACAGTTTGGTCATCTATACTGAATCTATTTAAATTACAAAATCTGCTTTTGGTATATTTTAGTCACAGGCCAACAAGCACTCTCCCAACATTCCCAGGCACTGCTAATGAGATAAGATGGACTGGGGACTACTCCCATGGCCAGTTTAGAAGTAGTTGCCTTCTTTTAAAGGTTAAGAGAGCTTTGCAGAATAGACATGAACAGATGATGCTAGCTGGTCAGGCCACCAAGAATGGACTTTGGCACCATTTCATTCACTAGCAGAGATGTGACATATAGGTCCTTTTCAGTCCCTTTTCTATGGTTGTACAGTTATGACTCTGCAATGATTCTGTAGCCCATGAGAGGAAGATTTGCAGCAATGGCAAACATAACACAAACCAAATGCTTAGCACAAAGAAAAACAACACATACAGACACCTCCTTCGATTATGCTTTTAATACCTGATGCCATGATAAGACCCTGGTCCACGACTGAAGTGATGGGCATAAGCACAAAACAAATTGACTTTCCCAAGAACTTCTCCATACAACTTGTGAAATGGTGAAAGGGAGCCAAAAATCGATGGGCTCTGCTGCTGACACTGAAACTATGACGATTTTACAAACCTGATCCATCTGGTCTCCTGATCTGCCCTCAGCTTGTTTTGTATATGTAAGCTTGAGAGAGACCGGACTATATTTGGGAATCAGACTGTGGCCCCTTCAAGAGAATTACTCCTCATTTACAGAAAAGTAAATGACAATATTTCAGAGACTCATAGGTAAGTGCTTACTGCCACTCTTTTATTACATATCAAACATTTATTTTCTTGACTCTGAAGCAATTCAGTTTTGTTTGCAGTACTGAACACCAACTCCCTCTACAGCAACTAATGGAATTTTACTACCAATATATTCTTTACCATGAAAAACAGTATCAGAGGTTATGTTCCAAAAAAGATTTATGATAAAAATGTAGTGAAGGAAATACTTCAGATGAAGATTCCCTAGATGGATTTTTTTCAAAATTAGGCTTAGCCTTCATGTCTGTACCACAACCACAGTAATGATGACTTCTTAGCTGCAAAAGCACATAATAAATATCATTCTATTATTTTTAAGAGGTACTTCTGTTTATTAGTAAATTGTCAACACACTGTGAAGTCACTAATGTTGTGTGATAATCACATTCAAACCTCTTAATGTTCTAACTCATTTAAGGTTGAAAACTGGAAATCATTAAGAACTTCCAAAAGCCTTTTTCTTAACTCCCATATCAGTCCAAACCAAGGTCAACATCATGAATTCCTATCTCACTTTTCGGAGTCAATTACCAGTCAGAAACCCAAAGCTGTACATTTCTCAGAGCAAAATCAGAGCCTGGATTTACTTTCTTTAGAGAGGCAGTGAAAGCACTGCACAGGACTTTAGGAGACCTCAGTTTAGGTCCATGCTTTCCAACAAGATTCCCACACAGTCTTAGGGAAGTTACTAAGGCTTAGATCTTAGAGGATGTTTAACTCCCTCCCACTGGCTTCAAGCAGGGTCTATCACTGTGGCTATATCTCAACTGCAGCATGCCAAGCTCATCAGAGTGAGACACAGACAGCACTCTCCTTGCATATTCATTTTTCCTGGGAAAGAAAACCTGGACACATGACCCGGAAGGGAGCCAGAAGCAGACATGACCCTGATTTGGACAAATTGTTGAGGGAGAACTCCAGAGCACTCTGCTGAGCAGCGTGATTCTTGTTGTTATGTAAACAGGAAGGTAAATTCTGTCCAAACCCGATTATGTTCCCATTTTTTCCAGACTTCCCCACAGTCACAGCAGCATGGCACAGGCTGTATTCCTGCAGGTGATTTGACAATACATCTGGTCAGGCAGGAGATGGATGGAATTCACTTGCATGTCCCAAATCAGAAAGCAACATGCAGCGTGTAGCTGGCTCTACACCAGACTAAGAGTATTTTGCTTCCTGCCACATATATCTCCAGAAATATTTTAGGGTTGGGACTATTCTGGGCTTAATTCTATTAGGAACTGTTTGACTCCTATTCCAAGTTAGCCAGGACTAGTGCCAAAAACTATGACTTCTTATAATGGCCAGAGAGTCAAATGGATCAAATGTCAAACATCTTCCAAGCTGCCAGTCCCTCCCAGAACCCACCCACTCACAGCCACTCACCCATGAGGACTGTGACTATGAGATGATCATTCAATTGGTTCTGGTGTTGCACTACCTTTCAAACAGTTGAAACGTTACTTGGTCCAATACTTCATAAAGTCCCCATAAAGGACAGAATATTTTCTTGAGAGCAGCTGAAACCAAAAATTCAAACTGAAGACTCAAAACCTGCTTGTAATGAATCCTCATGTTCAAATGCAGAGAGAACTAGCATAGTCAGGGCTGGCACTCAAGAGTCTAAGAGAATTATTTCACAGCCAATTGAAGTGTACGACCATGGTCCTCACATCAACCTCCCCATCGTACATTCCTAACCTTCCCAAATCTTGCCCTTGTGTCAGCACCGAAAACTAACACCACTAAAGCCATACAAAAATAATTTCCAGCTGGATCAAAAGGATGGTCTGATTCACCACATAGCCATACAATTGGCTAGCATCAACTAAAGAGGAAAGCTGAGAAAGAGTTGGTGGTGGGTAGTACCAGGGACACCTGTTTTGGCATTTCAGACAATCTTGAAATCATACCTCAAGACCTGTCTCCTCCTTTCCCAGAGATCTCCTGGGAGACCTTCCACATTTCCCTTGATCTCTCTCTTCCTCAGTTTCCCAACTGTACAGTGCTTCCCTCCTCATGGAGACACTTTGAGGGAACATATACAAGGACTGACAACCCTTTGGACTGATGCTACATAAATAGGATCAAACTTTATAACAAATTGAAACATACAAACTGATGCCTGAAACTCAGAACTTTTGAAATCACTGGAGAATATATGGTAGACCATGTACAGTGCTGGCCCGTGCTACTGTTCTGATGTCAGAGGAGGAACGTAAGTCAGACTGGATGAATAGCAATAGCTCTACACTGTGCTGATGCCTCATGTGACTTGGCATCTTTTCTTTCAGTGGGATTGGAAAACAAATCTGTTTGTTAGGCTGTAACTTTAAATTTTCCAAGTTTAAAGTAAGCTCTTACTGTATTTCAGCTGGTTTTGACTATTGCTCTGTGTGTGTGTGTTAATAAACAAATGTGTGCACCTGCACATCCTCATGGATGGAAAAGGGCCAAAGACTAAAACTTGCCAAACTCTCTTACAAATAGACCACACTGCCTCAGATAACTAGATATTATCGGGTAGTCTATAATCCTGATTAATGAATTGGACTTATCAGAAAGTACCTAAAACCATCAGAAGCTTTCTTCATGGCTTTATGTTTATAATCATACCATAATTACGTTCAGGGTTTCCCATCTTATCTCCTTCACTGTCTCCCCACTTTTTCTCCAGTTCTGTTTGTGGAATTAGGCTCCTTTTACTCTAACATGAGTACAGCCATTTGAATTCTAACTGGGTGCACTGATGACAGCAACACCTTACCTATGTACACTAAACATTTGCAGGTACTTGTTTCCTAAAACAGCAGAGACACGGATAAAGCCACCCAGAAAATAAAATAAACAAACCACCCTAAAATACCCTCCAGACTGTGAACCAAATCAGAAGTCAACAGATCTACTGAGGTCAATGACTTTACATGTTAAAGGAGAAATGATCTGGTAGTTAGTCTAAAACATCAATGCTGAAATCCTGTTATTACTACAGGCCTCTACATAATTCCACTTTCTGACAGAGATAACAAAAACACTGCACAGTTTTGCCTCCTCCCCACTCTCCACAAGATACATTCCCTTTTACTTTCTCTTGCTGAAGGCAGAGAAGGCACAATGGAAAAACTAATAGCTGTTCTGAGGCAGGGGGAGAATCATATAAAAGAAACCCAAAATATCTGAAAGCTTATCTTCATATGTAGCAATTGCACTTCTGCCAGCCAGGCTCTGCTATGACACCAAATCTCTCTGGCCTGTTACCGCTTTCATTATTGCGTCCGAGGGAAGGCACTAGCGAAGCAGTGGTACCAATGCAGCAATCCGCATCAGCCGTTGCCAGCCAAAGGGAAGCAAAATTTTATCTCGTGTAAAAGGGGAAGTAGCGCACTGAAGGGCACAGGACTGCACCAGCTCACACAGCTCGGCAGGAGCCGGGGCCCCAGACCGACCCCTCCCCGCAGCTGCCCCGCGCTCGCACCTCCCTCTGAAGTTGAACTAGGAACGCCTCAGATTTCCCCTTTCCCTCTAACCCCCTGCACAAAGCGCTGTCAAGCCCAGAACGAACCCAAGAGCTCCCCCACTCACCGCCGCTCCCAACAGCCAGACACCCCGGCAAGGACAAGAGCTCCCTCCTTTCCTTCCTCCCTCCCCCCCCGCGGGGGCTGCCCGGACCCCCGATACCCACCTCTGCCTCCAGCCGCCTCCCCGCGGGCTCCGCTCGCCGCCGCCGCCGCCTTTGTGCGCGCCGCCCGCCGCCGCGAGAAGAGGCGCGGGGGGAACGCAGCTGGGCGGCCGGTGGTGCCGCCCCGGAGGAGGGGCCGTAGCACCCGGGGAGGGCGCGGCGGGCGGGGAGAGGGCCCGGAGCCGGCCCCTGCCTGACCCTCTTCGGCCAGCGGCCCCGCGGGGAGGCCCGGGCAGCCCCCGCCCCACCGGGACCGAGGGCCGGACCCCGGCGGCGGGGCGGCGGTTGGGCACCTCGCGCGGCGGCCGTTGGTGGCGGTGCTGCGTCAGCGCGGGGCGGCGGCGCGCTGAGGGGACCGGCGGGTTGCTTCGGCAGCTCAGGGGAGTATTGTTTTCTTATTTAAGCCATTACCTCAACCTCGAAGTGATAATCGCAGAAAAAAACTTTTTTTTTTTTTTTTTTTTTTATACCAGCTCATTTCAGTCGATGTCAATAATGTTTAACAAAGGAGGGCATCTCCCCTCGGGTTTGTAGGCGGGAAAGCCAGAGCGCGGAGAAGAGACGCGTTCAGCCCGGGCGGGTGGGCAGGTCCCTGCGAGGCACCGGGTTCCCGGAGCACAGCACTCGTGCCCATAGGAAGCGCTTCTTTCAGTGTCATACGCTTAATCGCTGTAAATAAATGCGATGGAATAGGTTTTCCACCCGATCGATAGAAGCTCTCTTCCATTTAAGCCATAGTACAACCTTTAACACTGAGTGCCTTAGGCAGAGATGGGGAAGTGGATGTCCGTGATAAAAATTAACTGACACACGAACCTTCCAGGATTTTTTCAAGTCTGTTCACAGAAGGCAGAAGAGGGTGGTGCCAAATGCAAGACAAATGAGCAGGAAACAGAGTAATGTGAAAAAAAGGACAAAGAATATACACACACACAACAACAACAAAAAAAAAGGGATCAAATTTCATCAGCTGAAGAAGAATTTTAGAGCTGGATTTTGTGCATCTACATGTTCTAGTCCCCAAAATGTACACTCAGCTGAAGCCTGGAAAGCCTACCCTGTCAAGTAACTTGGCACTTAAGCCTTCTCTTTTCTGTTAACTTTCTAGATATACTGTAAAACAATCTAAATGCAATCTCCTCTAGATCATCACCTGATCGTAATCGTTCAGACTGTTTTTCTCCAGCACATCTTCCTTCTCTGGTTCTGTTATCTCTGTCCCCATGTTGGCTAGTCGGTATAGCACAGAACTACAACAGAACCGCTGGGTGACAGAGCCTGCTGCACGCTCACAGACTCGAATCCCTGCTTCTTGTTCTCCTCCATTCCCAGTTACACAGCTACACCAATGAGTTCACCTCGATTTTAGAATAAAAAAGTCAGTGAAGAAAGTTTCTGCCCAGGCACAACAAACAAGGGTGTTGACTTAATCCCAACATGAAAACAATATGCAACTGAGCCCAGAAATACCTACAGGTTTGTTTCCCAGGCATATTGTATCTAATCCCTTGTCAGTGGGCAGTCAGCAGACAGTGAGACACACTGGTAAATAATCCAATCCCTGATGTAAATACAAGAAGTTGCGTCTGTGCTGGCTGTGGATCCTGACCAGTGCTCTGCCCACCACATTCCTGTGGAATACGATCCTGTACTGTGTTCCGTCGAAGGGGGTGGTATCCTCCAGTCATCACCGTTCAGGACTCTTCTTGTTCCACCATGGTCTTTCACTACTATACTAAAATAAAAAGATGATCATAACACACTGAATCAAAACTATGGTCTTCCCACAGCCTCAACAATACCCATCCTTCTCTGCTTCTTTCAGAAGTCCAGAAGCTAGAGCCTCAGCTTTGAAAGTACTGTATTGTGTTTCATTATTCTTCATATCCAACCATCTGCTGCTTGACATAACCCACAAAATAATGCCCTACATTTTCAGTGGTTCCATGTGCAAGATCATATTTTCTCTTCCTATGGAGCAGTGTAAATATAGCCATGATATACACAAGATGCTGTGGAAAGTGCCAAATGCTGGCACAGCAACAGTAAGCTTCCATTAACAGCAGGGCACCATCTCCGTCCTGTGCTTTTTTACTCTGTTCTTACTGATGGTGTGACCATGGTGCAGGGCAGTGTTCCTCAGATTACTTCTCTGGAACAGCCTCTGGCAACTGATTCTGAAATCCTTGCTTATCTTGTGCTGCACCTCACCTCATAACTATTATCACCAGTTACGTCTATATGAAGGATCAAGCACTAGTACATAATCATCCATACACCCAAGCCTTAGTGTGGTTGTGGCTGTGGTTTTGGCTCAGCCCAGTGCAGAGTTTGGAGGACAGCATGGTCAGGGACAGTTCCTAAAATGTAATCTGGAGTTACCCACAAAACTATATGGCCAAGGGGATACGGTCAGGAGGCATACTCGACCCTTTCAAGAGAATAGTTCCTGGCAGTGTCATTTCCAAAACACACTCAGGAATGATGAAGTTCTGAACTATTACCATTTTCTTCCTGTAGCATTTCTCCCCTTGACAGGTTTCTTTCTGGAGGCATTGTGTCGGGCAACACAAGTTTGTTTCTCAAGGTTTGAATTAAAACTGTCCACAAACTTTTGAAGGACTTCCTCATGAAAGTTTTTCTTTCCACTCCTTTGCTGGTCTGTTATATCCATCCATTATTACCTAAATCTTGATTCCTGCCCCAAAGAGCTTATAGTTTACAGATTTACTCTGTGTTTGTACAGTTCTGGAACAGTGGAGTTCTCGCCTATGATCTGGACTCATAGTTACTATGAAAATACAAGTAAGAAAAAAGTTGAGCTGTGTAATCTTCTGTGAATTAATAAAAGTGGGTTAAAAAAAAGAGGTTTACAAGCACAGAAGAGTTTAATAAAACTCAAGAACATATTCCTAGAGAGCATTACATAAGATCATGTGGGGCGGGGGGGGGGGGGGGGGGAAAGGAGCCTTCAGTTCTAGCTTGGGACACTAGATTTTCCTGGCAAGTATGTTGCCAGTGAGCAAAATAACCACTCAAACCAAAATGTTCATTATTTAATGCATTATCAGTAATGTCTGGCATTTCCCCCACTAAAACTGGAGTTCATGTTCAGGCACTTAGTACCTGGGTTATGAATGACTGCAATTGTTAATGCATGCACACTGTGCATGTGAAAATTATTCAGCAAAAAGAAAAGTTGAGCTTTTAGCTTTTAATTTATAATGAACTCATAAGCAAAGGTGGCTCTTAAGTCTGGTGCTGACATTCTCTGTATTAGTATTAAACTCAGAGCAGCTCAGGCAATATAAACTACAAGTTGATCTAGTTTTATTCCAGTGTAAACATCAGAAAGTAGCTGGACTCTGATTCTGTAATTACCTGATTAAATGTCCCACCATCTTAACAAAGGAATAGTTCTCCTAACATAAGTAGGAATCTTTATACAATACTTACGGTTACCTGTGACAATCTACTGAATTCTCTGTCTGGTTCACATTAATTTTTCCCTTTCTTTTTCTTTTCCCTTCAGGTCTAGTTATCCAATGCTTCATTTTGTCCTTCATTTGAAGGCACAATAGTGCTGGCTATTGTAGCATCTAAATCCTGTCATTTAATCTGCTTCTTACTGCTTGATTTATTTGAGATTTTTTTTTAAAAAGTGTGAGTAGATGTTACATAGTTGCAGTCATTTCTAAAACGTTTGCCCCCCCCATGATTTTAACATCTTGACAATTCTGTCTGTCCTGCTGGTTTTGCTTTGTCTCTGTTCCTGAGATCAGCTGTTCCTGCTGTTTCAGAATCGGGTGCTTGAAGATCTGAGTAGTAAACAACTTTGAAAAGAGAAAGAATGCCATCCTTGTCCAACATAAAGCCATACAGGACAGACTTTATTCCATATGAAACCATCTTGCTTTTGGCAGTGTGTTCAATCTGTCGCATTTAGGCAGATGCCTCTGGCCTGCACCAGCCATCAAGTCTTCCCCCCCTGAGCTCCTTGCACTTTGCCAACTTCAGCTTTTGCGTTTTGCTTTCCATATGGTCACAGTTCCCGAGTATTGTAATTGTCTGCTGACACACACACACTAGCCAATACACTTCTGACATCATTTCTTATCTTCCTTCTTTGGCCTCTCTGTTAACAGGTGAGATGATGACGTCATCCTCAGGAGGACTGTGATGTCATCAGAAGTACTATAAAGTTTAAGTCATCAATGAGGCAGGGGAGTGACAGGTGAGAAGAGAAACTGAGAGGATTCTTTTATAAAATGATCAAATGTAGGATTGAAATTTTCCAGGAACTCTTGCAGCTGGAATTAGAGGCAGGATAGGAGGCAGTGGTCATGTGCCAAAATGCTCATCTGTAACATGAACATGCTTATCAGCTCCCATGCCATCAGCACTTGCATTACATAACCAAACTTGATTTTGAACCAAGTACTTTTGGACTTGGTTTTGTGACAGATACACTGTTTCCCCCCGCTCACTGAAAATATAGTCTCTGAAAGGGGATCTGTAGCTGACGAACTACTCGACAAGTTTTTTTTATATTCTTAAAATATAACAAGTCTTGATGATGATGGTTCTCCAAAGAGCCTTTATTTTTTCCTCTAGATCCACATCCAGCCTTACAAAATCAAGAAAACCTCAATGCTTCCTTTATATCTTAGCAACTCTTTCCACAGTCAGAACTCAGTTCTCTGCTACAAAATACTTGGCTACTGAGAAACAGAGGCATCTATTGACTGCTATGATCCAAACAAGGCCAAAGCAAAATAATGTAGGAATATTTAAATTAGGAACAAGAGAGGCTAAATATATCAGCCCTGCTGGAGGTCTACTTGAACCAGTCCAATCTCATCGGAAAGTAATTTAGCTCCAAATCTGTAAATAACCAAGCTTGAGCTCTCTAAATAAGCTTAGAAAATCTCGAGACCTGATAAAGCAAAGCAATCAGTGTATGAGATTAAGGATGTAACTGAAACCATCAACGTGTTCTTTTTTCAGCCAAAGCCCGGAATTCCTGCACAGGCGTGTTCAAACACAGACCTGTACTCTGCTCAGGCAAAATACATATTGATGCTTAAATGCACACACATATAAAAATGAGAGATTGTACTCAACTCCGTGGAAAACCCCTCCATCCTGTTTTGGACTGAAATGCTTTCCAGCCCAAAACATAGCTTTTCATCAGTCCAGTAAATCTATGCATGACCAGCAAAGCTTTTTCCCAGAATACTGTTTTCAGAGCACAGCAAATCAAAAGCAA